AATGGACACTTTACAATGGACACATTATAATGGACACTTTACAATGGACACATTATAATGGACACTTTACAATGGACACGCTGTAATGGACACTTTACAATGGACACATTACAATGGACACTTTACACCGCTTTGTACCTTACACTGATCATGAACACCTTATACTGTACATCTTACTCTAAACACTTTACATTGTATCTTACACTGGCTCTTGACTTAATTGTTAAGTCTTACTGATCAGTAAATACAGTAAGGTCTTACATAGCATCATGATGATCATTAAATACACTAAGGTCTTACATAGCAATATGATGGTCTTACTGATCAGTAAATACAGTAAGGTCTTACATAGCATCATGATGATCATTAAATACAGTAAGGTCTTACATAGCAATATGATGGTCTTATTGATCAGTAAATACAGTAAGGTCTTACATAGCAATATGATGGTCTTACTGATCAGTAAATACAGTTAGGTCGTACATAGCATCATGATGGTCAGTAAATACAGTAAGGTCATACATAGCATCATGATGATCAGTAAATACAGTAAGGTCGTACATAGCATCATGATAGTCAGTAAATACAGTGAGGTCTTACATAGCATCATGTTGGTCAGTAAATACAGTAAGGTCGTACATAGCATCATGATGGTCAGTAAATACAGTAAGGTCATACATAGCATCATGATGATCAGTAAATACAGTAAGGTCGTACATAGCATCATGATGGTCAGTAAATACAGTAAGGTTGTACATAGCATCATCTTGGTCAGTAAATACAGTGAGGTCGTACATCGCATCATGATGGTATTATGGCCCATCAACACAATAAGGTCCGGCAGTTCTTACATCGACACAAGTTGCAGTAACTGAAAAATGATAGATAGAAATAAGTTGGCTACAAGAGTTTATGACCCCCCCCCCCCCTCTTCAGGTTAATAACTGGTCTCCTGCTAGCATGATGCTGCTGCGTATCCAGATAGCTTCCTCCATCTGATGTTTGAACAGGTTTTTTCTCTATCCAACACTTTGGAATTGCATGTTTGGCTTACCAGTATATACTGTATCACATCCTACTTACACTGACAAATTACACTGATAAACCTAACCTGACATACTTACACTGACATACTTGCACTATCTTCACACTGACAAACTTGCATTAACATACTTTCTCTATGACATACTTACACTGACATACTTACACTTTCTTCACACTGACAAACTTGCATTAACCTACTTTCTCTTGACATACTTACACTGACATAAGGCAGCTGTATTTTGTGCACATTGTCATCATAGTAGTCGTTTGAGACCCAGTTGTCCAAATCTGTCGCATAATCTGCAGCCAAGTAACAATGGTCTCTTACCAACTCCTGTTCAGACAAAAGTCACAACATGAAATATTCAAGACATTTCAAATTGGGTTCATTGGCAAGAAGATGGGCATTTCTAACACTGATGAAATGACAATTTATTTTATTGCAAATTTTCTGTATTAAATAATCCGATAGAGTTTGAATTCATTAAAAATTGTTTTAATAATATTTTGAGATAGAAATATTTCAACAAATTCAAAGAATCACTATCTTATGAATGTCATGTTAACTATACCTCTGCTCTACTGAGTGTAACTGAAGCATAGTGACCAGGGTATTTCAGCTGTAAAAGACGCTGCATGAATCCATCCAGTTGAGCTCCACCCACGTTGATACGACGACAGGTGGCACTGTCCATGCGTCCCCCGACCACTGGCAGGATGTGTGTGGCCTGATAACCACAGTCAACCACCAGAGCACCACCTCCGTCTTATCATAAATAAAACCATTTAAAGTGTCAATGTCACCTTCTCATCAACTTATATAAGCATTGAAATACATTAAAAAAAACTGGAGTCAATGACCTTGCTCTAACAAGGAATGAAACAGAACACACCCCACACATCATTAACTATGTAGTGTTTATAGTTACATACATCATGGATGTCACTCGTCAAATAAAACATCAACAGTGAACACTATTACTATTTCAACTTTGGAATATGAATAGATATATTACCTAGTTTTGGCTGATTCTGATAGAGACTAAACATGGAGTCTACACCGTAGGCTACACGTGGTACATGGTAGCACTCAAACAGGAGTTCTGACATCTCTGAAAACGTAAACAGGAGACATAGTGAAGTACCCTACAGCAGTTCTGACATCTCTAAAAACGTAAACAGGAGACATAGTGAAGTACCCTACAGGAGTTCTGACATCTCTGAAAACGTAAACAGGAGACATAGTGAAGTACCCTACAGCAGTTCTGACATCTCTAAAAACGTAAACAGGAGACATAGTGAAGTACCCTACAGGAGTTCTGACATCTCTGAAAACGTAAACAGGAGACATAGTGAAGTACCCTACAGCAGTTCTGACATCTCTAAAAACGTAAACAGGAGACATAGTGAAGTACCCTACAGGAGTTCTGACATCTCTGAAAACGTAAACAGGAGACATAGTGAAGTACCCTACAGCAGTTCTGACATCTCTAAAAACGTAAACAGGAGACATAGTGAAGTACCCTACAGGAGTTCTGACATCTCTAAAAACGTAAACAGGAGACATAGTGAAGTACCCTACAGCAGTTCTGACATCTCTAAAAACGTAAACAGGAGACATAGTGAAGTACCCTACAGGAGTTCTGACATCTCTAAAAACGTAAACAGGAGACATAGTGAAGTACCCTACAGCAGTTCTGACATCTCTAAAAACGTAAACAGGAGACATAGTGAAGTACCCTACAGCAGTTCTGACATCTCTAAAAACATAAACAGGAGACATAGTGAAGTACCCTACAGCAGTTCTGACATCTCTAAAAACGTTAACATAGTGAAGTACCTAACGTTTCAAGCAGTATTCAATTGTAAAGTACTTTGCAATGCCAGCTCACTTAATGGGTTTGGACTGCTTTTAGTTATTAGGAAAAGCATGAAGATAAAGATGGAAAAGACAGTAGTGTGTGACTGTGAGATAGACTTACATTGGTGACAGTAGTGTGTGACTGTGAGATAGACTTACATTGGTGACAGTAGTGTGTGACTGTGAGATAGACTTACATTGGTGACAGTAGTGTGTGACTGTGAGATAGACTTACGTTGGCGACAGTAGTTAGGGTTACATACGGGCTCAGTCATCAAAATAGGATGTTCCACAGCACTCTCTGTGTTAATACCCATATGGGTAAATATGTAGTCAAAAATCTGTTCCTGTAACAACCAAGTTAAACATGAAACTAAAGGTGGCCAAAATTCTGCTCTTATCATAACTAATGTAAACAAATCAACACAATCATTAATTACATTTTGATAACTAATCCTATCAACTTGCAGAAAGGTGATGTATTTTAACTCATGTTTTAACAATATACTTTGGGATTCTGATTTAGTTTTATGTTCTTTGTACAAACAGAGGCAACATAGGTTTTCAAAATTCCTGGAAAACGAACTAAGATAAATAAGCAAACTTTACCTGGACATCGTAGAGAGTTACAACATTCCTATCGAATTGTGTTCGGAGAATCCAGCGAACAACCTCAATGTTGTTAATCTCATTCCCAACCTGCAAGTCAGACTCCTAAGAAGAAACATTTTATCAATGTTGTATAAAGTAAATTTTTATCTTGATATTTCAGAACATTATATATATTTACACTGATTATTTCATTTTTAAGTATACATACATCTATATACTTAGCTGCGATTACAAAGCTTCTAACGACGAGACATCTTTATATATTGTGCATCAGAGCTACAAAGCGGTCCCATGCCGACTAATGGAGCAAAATTTAAAGTACTTATCTGTAAGAAGTCCGTTTTGGGGGAAAAAATAGAAACGACCGCCATGACCGATCACACGTGATGGTATCTCAATCATCTGTTTCTATATATATGCCTGCATGGCCAAATATAGTATTACTACTGATGCCACCATGTTTACTACAATTATCATATTGGGTCATGACACCCATATATAGATGTCTGACCTAAATCGAAAGAGAGACCAAGTTTCCAACATGGCGGTCAATTCAGGTTTCGATTGCCCTTGCTACTTTAACTCGATAGTTTAATTACATTTAGGCAGAGTTTAACTTCAAGTTATATAGGATATCAACAGAAATAGTTCATATTACAAACCTATCAATTGATGTGGACCCATCTGCTGTCAATTAATGCTAAAAGCACCCCAGTGTGATTCACAACGGGCTTGCTCCATTAAAAAGCAAGGGATCGATTTAATACCCGGCAGAGGAGGAGGAGCCTGGGTATTAATATAAGTACTACTCTATACTGTGCATTATTGTTTGTCTCTTTTATTTCAGTACATTGATATGATTAGTGTATGTATTATACATTGATATGATTAGTGTATGTATTATACATTGATGCAGTTGAAACTTACAAGAATAAAGACCCAGAAAGAAAATACAATGAAAGAAGAACAGACTTCCAAATTCTGACAATTAATGAAATAATGAAGTTGTTAGTACAATGTACATTTATTAGCTGAACAACCCATATCAATAAGTGCACTCCATATTTTAGACTCAACTTGTTTGTGTACACTTACTAACATTTTTGTTATGTGTACATTAAAATCACCTTTTAATTATAAGTCCAAAATTTATAATTTCTACAGATCGAGAGATGAAAGTTAATGCTGAGGGTACCTTTTTGCCTCGTTGTTTGGCAGTGATGTTTTTGAAGGTTAATTGTGGCTGGTGTTTCTTGGCTGTTGCCCAGCCTGCCCGACACTGGTAGGATCCTATGTTTAAAATGGAGAAGACATCATACATAATGTTTCCCTAGCAGGATCTAGTCCAAATTGTGATGTGCTCGCTGACCAAACATAAATATTTGACTTGAAATCTGATAATATGATTACAATTGAACTACAGTTGTAGTGATATACAATCCTGCATGGCAGTAAGGTTAACTCTCTGCTCGGTTTTTATCATGTAAAAAATGCATTATTCCAGATGACACAATTTTTACCTATATCCCACTGAGTTGGATAACACTCGCATTGAAGAAGATGATTTGTGATAATGTCTCAGTGTTATTATTTTCAGAAACAGCAGGTCAATATTCTGATTACACCTCAATAAAAGTCTATTTGATTAATGAAGTATTCAAAATTTTCTTATTACATTATGTTATGGTCAAACTGTTAATCAAGATAGTTTTTCTATAGTGTTTTAGACTGAATGTCTTATTAGAAAAATTAAAAATGAAGTAAATAATTACCATTGTCTATGACCAGAGGTACATTGTTGTCATATAGTGTGGCCGAGTAGTCAAACACTGGATCAGGGCTGCATCTTTCATCTTTGAAAGAGAAGATATTGGTTGATCCCTTTCCCTGGGCCATATTCTGCAAAACAAAAGAAATTGTAACGAGTAACAGAAAAGCACATGGCAGAAAAGTTTTGGCATTAAGATTTCTTTTTTGAGAGAGTTGCAATCAGGAATCTGATTCATGAAACCGGCATAAATTTGAAATGCATTGGAAAATATTTCAATTGCTCCGTTGCCTTGAAACATAGCGTTCGAGCTGTATTTTAGTCTAGATTCAACTATTGTGTATCTATAATCAGAAAGCCTCTCGAGTGGTAAGAGCTTTTTGAAATATTTTACGGAGTAATTATTGAGGCAATGGATTTAAGAGGGTACTTCATGATAAGATATCGGAAACAGCTTCATAATTTGGGTAGACTCTTTACCCCCCCCCCCCCAAAAAAAAATCATGCATCAGGCAAAAACCTGGGACCTGCCAAGCTCTAGAAAAACGCTCTACCAATTGAGCTACCTGGTCGCCAGCGATCGACTCAGTTCAGTTCTGCTGCATTCCTCCCTCCTTTTTCTAAGTCAACTCCCTAGATGGCATCAATATGTACAACCCAGGTTTGGGTATCTCCTCGTCAAATGCTACCCAGTTATATATTAATAATAGTTAAATCAGGGGTTTGTCCTCGACAATAATGTAACAGGAGTGGGGGTGGGGGAAGTATGATGGGAACAGGATTCAAACTCGGGATTCTCCAGCAGCAGAGCCGACTGGTTGCCGACGATCGACTCGAAGACAACTATTATTCGGAAAAAGTAAGATTTGATTATGAAATCTCCTGCATGTGATGCCGTACCGACCACCCCAATAATTTTAGGGGTTTAAACGACAAGATACGACACAGTATGCATAATATTCTATAGAAAATCGAAGTATATCTCTTCAGAGCTAATGTGTCATGTTACATATAAATGACAAAAAACTTGTACACCAAAGGACCCCATTGGAAATAAGCCACTTTGTGACTTTTATGGGTAATCCTAGGTAAATGGCACACACCACTCTTATCCGATCGGGGAAAACCACTAACTTGTGTATAATACGCAAACTCGCCTATTATACGCCAAAAGGGGTATGGATTTGTTACTAAAAATAGCCAAAATCACTTTATTCTTAATTTTTTCACATTGTTTGTCCAAGTCGCATTTATTCAGTCATGAAACATAATACAAATGCAAAAATAAACTTTATTTGCATGTGGGAAAGTACCGGAAAGTACCAAAAACAGATGCAATACTTCCGGTAAAGTTACATCATAAAGCTAAGTAGCCAACTCTTTCAGTAAACATCTTTAAGCAAAATATTATTTACCTTGCCGTAAATTAATGCGATTTTTAATAATATCTTGCAAAGGTTACTGTTAAAGCGATTTGGGTTATTTTTAGTAACAAATCCATACTCCGACTGGCGTATAATAGGCGAGTTTGGGTATATACGCAAATTGGTGGTTTTCCCCAACCTGCTTATTACGCGACTTATTTATATCTACCTTCATGTACTAAAAAATAGTCCGTCTTGTTTCATAGTAATATGTGCCTTTTTTTTTTCAGTGTATTAGACTTTTTATAGATTTTTATACTCTGCGATATATATCAATGATTGAATTAAGAAACCTTTTATTGCGATAGATCTATTCTTATTCTCAGTCTTCATACAACGTATTCTTTTTATTTACAAGTTGCATTGTGATCTTAATTGTATGTTTTATTCTAAATTGTGATATCTTGTAATAATATGCCTATTTGGCTGAATAATTATTATTATTATTACAAATCGGCTGTTCAGCGGCAAACTGTGCAGCTGTGGGGAAGGGGCTATAAAACTATATCGCGAAATATCTACAAATCAAATTCCTGCATTATTTTAAATAACATCCTGGTTAGTCAAAATACTCTAAAAGAAAATAATTATCAACCTGCAAAATTGTGTTGAGGTGTTAACAGATAACAACAAGGCATGGAACCGGTCTAACAATCACACACTGCTTTGTTTTTCCCAGAAAACACGTTCTACTTATTAACCTCTTTTTTGAAGAGTTCCGAAAATCTAATTTAAGAGACGGCAAATTCCGGATGTTTCTGATGATAGTTCTTTTTGCGTAAAATGTCTCCGTTTCTATTGAAAATTACATCGTTATTTATTCAAATATATCAAATTGCTATTTTGTTCTTACGGTTTTACAATATATTGTTAGTTAAGACAGTAGTTTAATCAATATACACATACATCTATGTAGTAATTATGCCCCATTGCTATTGTTATGCAATACATATATCTGTTATTTACTAGGTTTTCTTAAGACATGTATATACTATATATAAACTGTATATTTTTTATGACATATAGAGAATAATACATACCTTCGGCCCTCGGGCTGATAGTGGAGTCTCGGGTATTCCGATCTATTTTTCTTTTGAAATAATAATAATAAAAAAGAAATCCCCAAAAGGGTTTTGCGGGCTGATACGGAGAGAACTGATACGGGTTTTGGGGTTTTGGGGTTTTGGGGTGTGATACGACGAGGGCTGATACGGGTTTTGGGCTGTGATACGACGAGGGCTGATTTGGGTTAGAGTAATTTTGTCGTATCACATATACAAAAAAAAAAAAAAAAACCCGTATTTTTTTAGTAAGTATGTAATAGACTGGAATATCACCACTCTTGTAAAATGCCAGGCTTGGTTATGGATATTGATATAGATGTTATATTGTTACATTATATAATGTTATATTTTAATGGTTTTTGTTTTTTCATATTGTTTAGATATGTATATTTAGTGATGCACATACATTGCAGCATTTATTGATATATATATAATGTTGTTGTTTTCTTTTTGTTTGGGAAATAATTCGTAATATGTTGCCTTGGTTATCGCTCACCTTTCATTCCGTGCTTTAGACACATGCAGCTCATCCTTTGCGACCTTCAAAACACGCAAAGTTAATATTTTTTAAAACAAAGTCCATATCAAAACAAGCTAACACCACATGGCTGAAGGTTTTAACACATCTGCCCCTGTCGGCTACCTTAGACTTAAGTGGGTGTAGGTGGCTCTTCACCCCTGTATGCTGCTTAGTACACGCTTGGTTATTATAAGAAGTTTTTCTAAAAGTTTTACACATTTAACCCTAACGATCTTGAAAGTTGGTCAAGTCTTTCATAGAGCGTACTACAAACTGATTATCATCACATTAAGCCTCATTGGTTTTATACAGTTAGAACATATTAAACGGTTTTAACATTTGATTACTAGTATGACCTTGTAGGTAGGTCAATGTCATTCACTTAAGTACATATTTTGCACCCCTCCATAATAGTATGTCAATGACCATATAAAACGACGAAGACTTACAATTTTGATTTTGACACACTTGAACCGTATTATATTGAAAGTGGTTCAAAACCATCGTTTTGGAACCAGTTTGATAGACCTTTGTCCCGGTATGCTACTTGCAAAATATCCCAATATGATTAAGTTGTTTCAAAGTTGAACACTTTTTATCAGTGTGACTTTAATTCCAAGTTCAAACTTATGGTCACTTAGAAGAAATCTTTTCAATATATCAACACACTTAATCAATTTGATCTTAAAAATAGGTTAATAGAACAATAATCAATAAAACTTTAGCAAATTATGATCAAAAGGGGATATTTGCAAGGTTACATTGAGACAGCAAAACGGGGATATTTGCAAAGAAATATTGTATTAACACAAAGGGAACCTTTGCAAGGATACCTTGAAAAAGCACAACGGGGATATTTCAAGGAAACATTGAAAATCATCAAGCTAGACATGGTTTTTATTAAGAAGGAGCCGTTTAAATAAGTGATACCGAGGAAAGACGAACACTGCACCAGTGCAACCACCCACATAGACCTTTGGGCCAGATAAACCTTAATGCAACAAAATTAATCGATTGTATACTGATGTAATACGACAAAGATATTATATGTTGGCTTTTAAGTAACCTCTTATGACTATGTATGTCATGACCTTATTACCCTCCTTATGACTATGTATAGGTCATCACCTTATTACCCTCCTTATGACTATGTAGGTCATCACCTTATTACCCTCCTTATGAATATATAGGTCATGATCTATAAAATCTCTATGTATGACTATGTAGGTCTTGACCTTGATACATTCTTATGACTGGTCATTATCTTAATATCCTCATTATGACTATGTAGGTCATCACCTTATTACCCTCCTTATGAATATATAGGTCATGATCTATATACTCTCATTATGACTATGTAGGTCTTGACCTTGATACTCTCCGCCACTGAAAAGCGACCCCACGCTGGGTCCTTCCTCTTCCGGCTTGACGCCATACTTGTTGTTCAGATGTGTTTATGTTCGTTGTGTTGTATACATACTTTACTGTGTAACATGCAGGAGGTCACCCATCCAACTACTGACCACGATCGACGTTGCTGAACTAATGAGCATGCCCCAGGTTACACCTCATGACTTGAAAAGCTAGCTTGCCAGTAAGGCAGTGTTCTCCCTCATATTCCTTAGCTGTTACACTATTCCCCCCTCCGAGAAGTCCAAGAAACTTGGCCTGTGGAATTTCCTCTTTGTGTATCACTGCACCTTCCCTAACCACTGGGAACTGGCCTTACATGATCACAGAGTCACTACACTGCAACCAAATGTAAAGTGCGGGCGGTCACCCATCCAGCTTTTCCAGTCCTGCGGTATAACCCGGACACCCGCTCACTAGTTCAGCATCGTCGAGTGTGACCAGTTGTTGAATAGGTGATTTAAGCGCCGCTCAGAAGAATGACCAATATTAGGACAGATTGCCAATTTTTGCTTTTGCCCCGTCATCTCAAGGAACTCCATAGTTAAAAGCTCACTTTCCATAAATGATATTTGAAAAAAAAAATTGACAACACTACGGCTTCCAGTCCACCGGTGCTCACTTTCTGGATTTGGCGAGCATATCTTTTCCACCAGAGGAAAGACATGAGGATTTGTTCCAACGTCTTACAATTTACCTACTGCCAACTGCGGCGTTACACAGCACTGTGAAGCTGTCGAAGTAGACGACGATCGTACTCCCACTCTGGAGAACACCATAGTCGTCATATGGCTTCAACTCATCCATCCATTCTTACCCATTCTTGTGAAACAGAAATACGGTTCTGAGCTTCGTAACAAGTCACCCGCCTCCTTAAAGTCCGACATTTCTCAGGCCCTCAATTTAATGCAGAAACCCGCATTGTCTTGCATCTTATGCAAAACGGCCAACGCAAAACTATACAACAAATGAACTCATGAATTGTTGCCTCCTCCCTGAATGTGACAGAAAAAATAAGTCGCTCGCGTTTATGTGACCGAGGGGGTTGCCGAATTCTGTCACGCAGACGAAAATGAGGTAATAGACTCTGATTTCGATAGCATTGCTCAGTCAGTGCACGATGACGAGCCATGTGAGTATCGTTCAATTCCAGGTTTTCGATTTTTTTTTCAATCAACACCGTGTAAACAGAACTTCGAACTCGATACTTTTCTTATGCGACCCTTAGACGTCGATATTCTGGCTGGGAACCCGTTTGTACCGGAGTGACATCAGTGTTCGCCCCACGAAACGGCAAATCGTGATCAAAGGTACTGTGGTTATCAAATACGGCGGCTCACCTAATCGATCTTCACTTTCCAGCGTGCGTCGTACTCAGGCCTTCCTAATACGCAATCCCAAGTGCACGGTGGTTTTACCTGGGGAATACCTTCAGCTCTCTACGACATGCGATTCGGAGCCCGGCGCAATTTGGGTCCTGGAGCCCAGATTGGACAGTCCTTCTAATATTCTTTCCACGTGTGAGGAGGTCTGGCCTCCATCAGAAGACATTTTCTCTGTGGATCATGCAGTGCGTATCATCAATTCCACTGGCTCGCCTATTGTACTGAACATGGTGATTAGCTTTGCCAAATCAGACACGTTACCAGTCCTAATATAAAGTTCGTATCATACGCCCCCTACCTATCACCACCGTGCATGATACGCCTTCTACCAATGCAAAGCCCTTTTCACGCGATGTCGTCGTTTATCCCGACTCCTGTTTACACTCAACTACCCGCGATAGATTCAACTCGCCCCACACCGAGTTTGATGATGTTTTCAAGCCCTCAATTTCCAAGTATAACGACACGAATGGATCTATCGAAGCTGTTGTATATGGGCCCAACTCTCCCACATCAGCGCAAAGGACGACTTCCCCAGTAAATCAGGGGTATTATTGGGGACATAGTCGAAGTTGGATGATCTGAAATCAATAGGTGTCTCCAGGTTGAATATCTCAACACCTCCTTTCTGGTACGGAAACCCAACGGGGAAAGCAGATTTGTGACTCCATTTGGTGAAGTTGCTCGGTACAGCAAGCCGCAACCTTCTCTAATGCCCACCATTGATGGGGTTTTGCGTGAAATAGGTAAAAGGAACTATTTGACCTAGCTAAGAACTTTTATCAAATTTATAACAACAAAAAAATGGACATGCCCGGGTCTGAAACCTGCCTCGAGGAGCTCATGTCAAGGATCCTCGCTGATCTCATTCCAGAAGGCTGTGTTGCCAAAATTGCTGACGACTTGAAAATTGGTGGCCTGACCCATGAGGAAATTCTTCTCAACTGGCGACGTGTCATTCTCTTACTACAGTCCAAGAATGTTGTTTGCCTGAACAGGGCGGTCGTCCTCGGCTGGATTTGGTCAAATGGCACTCTACAGGCTAGCCCATACAAGGTGGCTGCGTAATCAGCTACCGACCTCCATGCTACTGTACAGTGCCTACGATCGTTTATCGGCGAGAACAAAGTACTCAGTCCCGTACCACCCAGATATGCCGACCAACTCAACCCGTTAGATTAGGCTACAGCAGGAAAAGAATCCAAGGAGAAAGTTATATGGTCGGATGACCTCAGTAACCCTTGTAACCACGCTAAACATCTCTACCTCAGCCTGGTGACTCGCTATGGACCATGACTGACGGCTCTGTCAAAAGTAGAGGGATAAGAGCCACTCTATACGTCCTCAGAGGCGGCAAACTCCTGTTGGCCGGCTTCTCCAATGCCATATTACGGAAACAAGTATTATGGCTACCCTGCGAGAGAGAGGCCTTGGGCATTGGATCTGCCATAAAACATGTATCCGTGAACGAGGTTCTTGAACAGCTAATTCGTATGCCATTTACCAGCCGTGCCACATGAGTGTCCAGATGTACGACATGTTCACTCTCACCAAAGTCAAGGTACTCGTCCTTCTATGAAGGCCACCAAGATCCCCGGTGACAAGCGATACCTAAAGGAATTTGTTATAGCTGCCGACGGCCTGCTATAATTGTCGTTAGAGACTCTCAACCGTTCAAACCTACACTCGAGCGTATCGTTGTACCAAGCACGCCCCTCGATAGGTCATCGACAACCTTACATATCAGATTCAGCCATCCGTCAAAGTATCAGACTAAGATTCATTTCGAAAGGTACTTGTTTTCACTCGATGTCGACAAGGCCAATACATCCGTGTCTTCTTCTTGCCATTTCTGCCAGTCTGTGAAGTTTTTTCCAGAGCACTTTCAGCCTCAGTCATCCGTTGAGGCACCCTCCTCCATCTGAGTGACATTTCCTGCGTCGTTACCGTCAATACGTCATAGTTTTGCGGAGACTGTTTCATCATAAACATTAGCCGTATTGATCACTAGCGGGAAGCATGGGGATCTTGGAAAATGCAATATCCTGTTTATCTCCGCGACGCTACGCTCATTATGTAGCGATAGCATTATCATTCGTGTTGATCAAGCTCCAGGCTTCGGTGCCCTCCAGAAAGAATACATTCTTCTCTCCCATGGCATACATCTGCTGATAAGGAGGGTGAAGAACACCAATAGAAACCTAATCGCGGAGCGTGCAATGGAGGAACTTGGGTTGGTGATTCTTCACCTATCCCCGAGGGAGGCCCTGTCTCAGAAGTCAGCTCTCGCCACTGCACAGATGAATTCGCGTATTCGGCGTGATGGTCTCTCTTCTCGCGAAATCTGGACTCAAAGAGACCAGCTAACTGGAAAACAATTACCTATCATTGATCGGTAGATCATCCACAGACTATGTCTCGCAAACAAAACCACGTACATAGTGCCAAACTCAAAGCCGACGGGACCACGCAAATACGCCATAGTAGGATTTTCGTCGGCGAAGTTTACCAGTTTGCAGTACCGTAGTAAGGTGAACAACGTACCCATGTCGCAGTGTTACCCAGTACTACCAACACTTCTTGCACAGTCGCTGAGGAACCCATCCGTGGTAAAAAAACAAAAAAACCCAGATGAAATTTTAGATTCTGACTCTTACGATGTTACATGCACCTTAATCCCCGCACGCGCAACTTTGACCTTTGGTCAACTGTCGTGTCCTCCTTGAACGCCCCATACATTTTCTTCCCATCAGCCACTACACCTGCAAACTGACTTGCCAGTACCTCCTGTACCTGATGCTTTTGTCTCCGTTTCCGCCGAAAAGTCTGATCCAGTGAATTCTGTTCCGCAATGTTTGCCCGGGAATCTACTTCGTAGGTCGACCCGCTCTCGTATAACTCCTCGTTTGCAGAACCAGAATTAGGACTTTAGCTGATGAAACCATTGTGTGAACTATGACCCGTTTTAATACTGTAATCATTTAATTTCGAACTTTTGAACTGATCGACTTCTTGAGTTGTTAGTACATGCATAAACATGTATTTTGCAAAGGACAGATTAAGGGACACAGACACTGCACCCTCGTTATGAATATCTAAATGTATGGAGTGTTCACCTTCTTCGTTTTCAGAAATACATGTTCTCTTAATTTAGGATTAGTTAATTTCTCAAGAGGACATATGTGAGATAAAGGCAATCAGGCCAGAACTTTGTTTTCATTATCTTAAGCAGTCTCTGACGGAAAAGTGGCTCCATGCTGGTTCCTTCCTCTTCCGGCCTGACGCCATACTTGTTGTAACACGTGTTTGTGTATGTTGTGTTATATAAAGTCTTTACTATAAGAACGCGGTGTAATTCCTTATTGGCGCTTCCTATGACTATGTAGGTCGTGACCTTAAAACTTCTTAAAACTATGTATGCCATGACCTCAGTACTCTCCTCATGACTGTATCGGCCTTAATCATAATACCCTCCTTACAACTGGGAAAGCTGTGACCTCAATACCCTCCTTATGACTGTTTGGGTCGTGACCTTAATACTCTCCTGATGACTGTGTAGGTCATGCTCTCAATAACATCTTTATGACTGCGTAGGTCAAGACTTCCATACCCTCCAGGTGATTGTGTAGGTCATGACCTTAATACCCTCCTGATGACTGTGAAGGTCATGACCTTAATAACCTCCTGATGACTGTGTAGGTCATGACCTTAATACCCTCCTGATGACTGTGAAGGTCATGACCTTAATACCATCTTTATGATTGTGTAGGTCATGACTTCAATTCTCTTCTTATGACTGTGTAGGCTGTGACCTTCGATACCCTCATTATCACCGTGTCGTCAGTGATCTCATGCCATACGTATAGACGACCCACACACCCTGTCTGTGAATGTAGGACGTAACCATGTACGATAACCAAATCAAATACATATAGTTGGCAAAGCCTGGACATCGCGTATCAAGTTTGAGATAAATACCAGCTATCAGTCGGTTATAATTTATTGTTCTGATACATATATATATATATTACTGTCCCAATAGGTTTATAATTTACTGTCCTGATACTTATATATATATATATGACTGTCCCAATAGGTTTATAATTTATTGTCCTGATACGTATATATATGTATTACTGTCCCAATAGGTTTATAATTTACTGTCCTGATACGTATATATATATATTACAGTCCCAATAGGTTTATAATTTATTGTCCTGATACGTATATATATTTATATTACTCTCCCAATAGGTTTATAATTTATTGTCCTGATACATATATATATATATTACTGTCCCAATAGGTTTATAATTTATTGTCTTGATACGTATATATATTTATATTACTCTCCCAATAGGTTTATAATTTATTGTCCTGATACGTATATATATATATTACTGTCCCAATAGGTTTATAATTTTCTGTCTTGATACGTATATATATATATTACTGTCCCAATAGGTTTATAATTTACTGTCCTGATACTTATATACATATATAACTGTTCCAATAGGTTTATAATTTACTGTCCTGATACGTATATATATATATGACTGTCCCAATAGGTTTATAATTTACTGTCCTGATACGTATATATATATATCACTGTCCCAATAGGTTTATGATATATTGTCCTGATACATATATATATATATTACTGTCCCAATAGGTTTATAATTTACTGTCCTGATACATATATATATATATTACTCTCCCAATAGGTTTATAATTTACTGTCCTGATACGTATATATATATATATATTACTGTCCCAATAGGTTTATGATATATTGTCCTGATACATATATATATATATTACTGTCCCAATAGGTTTATAATTTACTGTTCTGATACGTATATATATATGTATATATAGAATAAAATATAGGATAAATAAACATAGAATATAAATAAACATAAATATAGAATATAGGATAAATAAACATCAATCCGCCTGAAGAAGCCCTAGAAGTCAGAAAGGCCTAGCGGACGATCTGAAAAATTTGTTTTTATTCTATATTTTCCTTCGCAAGGACTTATTTATTTATTATCTACTATATATGTATATATATATATATATATTACTGTCCCAATAGGTTTATGATATATTGTCCTGATACATATATATATACATTACTGTCCCAATAGGGTTATAATTTACTGTCCTGATACGTATATATATATATATTACTGTCCCAATAGGTTTATAATTTACTGTCCTGATACGTATATATATATATATTACTGTATGATGATGAAATGGCTTGGTGCAAAGCACCAAATAAGAGTTCAAGATTTAACTAACGTCATGAAAATTAACTCCATATTTACACTTTATTGTTTTGATTATATATCTGTATAGATAGATACATGTACCAGGTATTATTAGATATAAAACAAATATTGACAAATCGTGAAAAGTATGAAATAGTAATAATACTTTGGGTTTGACGATCATACTTGTCATTCTGTAGACACCTTTGTCGGTTTTGCTTGCCTCCCTGTCAGGTAGCAGGGTATGTTGTTAGATGTAGGGTCACACATAGCCAACGACCTGAGTTGTATATCTGGTGTGACGAGCCTTGATTACACGACCTTAGGTCACTTCGCTGACATCAGCTGGGATTTTCTAACTGGTCAGGTAAGTTTTGATCGAGTCACTAAATTTATTTTATAAAATAATGTCGATTGACTGGATTAATAATAAATTTAATATATCTAGTAATAAGAATTTTCACTTTACGGAAATATTTATTATTATGAAGTCACTATTTTGTAAAAGTATAATTAAGTTCGATAATCTGTTTTTTCCAAGATCATTATGATAAATACTTATGCCTCGCATGTTACATTTGATAACATTTGTGCCCTGCATATGCCTTAATCAAAATAGTAGTTACACATAGGTACATTTGAGAAAAAATACTTACTGTCAACAAGTTGAGTCCGTAAAACAGAAAAGAAAGTAGGCATACATGTATGTATATGAGAAGGAAAACAGGACTTTTCACATACATTTTTTAAAATTTCACCTTTTCATGTAGGACTGTTACCTATTTTCTAGAAGTTCACTCATCATTACAAGGTGAAGAGAATGGCGGCTGTTTCGGGTAAGCGTGATATGCATTTACTTTTTGCTTAATTTTTACTTTTTCATTGTCGTCGGTTTTTATCAATCTTGCGTTAAATCAAAAGTGCCACCTTGTTGTAATTATTTGTAATTATTGATGCCTGTTTAAATTGAGTTAATAATCTACTAGAATCCAACTATTGATGCCTGCTTAGATTGAGTTAATGATCTACAAGAATCCAACTATTGATGCCTGCTTAGATTGAGCTAATGATCTACCAGAATCCCCCTATTGATGCCTGCTTAGATTGAGTTAATGAGCTACCAGAATCCAACTATTGATGCCTGCTTAGATTGAGCTAATGATCTACCAGAATCCCCCTATTGATGCCTGCTTAGATTGAGTTAATGATCTACCCTAATCCAACTATTGATGCCTGCTTAGATTGAGTTAATGAGCTACCAGAATCCAACTATTGATGCCTGCTTAGATTGAGTTAATACTCTACTAGAATCCAACTTCTGATGCCTGTTTAGATTGAGTTAATGATCTACCAGAATCCAACTAGTTAATGATCTACCAGAATCCAACTATTGATGGCTGCTTAGATTGAGTTAATAATCTACTAGAATCCAACTTCTGATGCCTGTTTAGATTGAGTTAATGATATACCAGAATCCAGCTATTGATGCCTGTTTAAATTGAGTTAATGATCTAACAGAATCCAACTATTGATGCCTGCTTAGATTGAGTTAATGAGCTACCAGAATCCAACTATTGATGCCTGCTTAGATCGAGTTAATGATCTACCAGAATCCAACTATTGATGCCTGCTTAGATTGAGTTAATAATCTACTAGAATCCAACTTCTGATGCCTGTTTAGATTGAGTTAATGATCTACCAGAATCCAGCTATTGATGCCTGTTTAAATTGAGTTAATGATCTACCAGAATCCAACTATTGATCCCTGCTTAGATTGAGTTAATGATCTACCAGAATCCATCTATTGATGCCTGCTTAGATTGAGTTAATGATCTACCAGAATCCAACTATTGATGCCTGCTTAGATTGAGTTAATGATTTACCAGAATCCAACTATTGATGTCTGCTTAGATTGAGTTAATGATTTACCAGAAGCCAACTATTGATGCCTGATTAGATTAAGATTGAGTTCAAGCGATAGAGACAATCACAACGGTTTGCATATTATTATCAATACATATCAGCATTTTGACCTCAAGCGACCTCCTGTACAAGGTTAAATGGACACATTTTTCATATTTGTAGATAAATCCTATAGCACACAAATACAAGTACATGTAAACCTATTGATAGAGATGTTTTTGAAGAGGAGAACAGTACCTATAGCAGTAATGTTATCAATCCCCTCTCCCTACTCTCACGCTCACATGTAATGTTATCAATCCCCTCTCCCTACTCTCACGCTCACATGTTAGGCAAATTCTTCAATATTTCCATGAATGCATCACAATCAAGTATTCAGTAACTTTCAAAACGTTTACATTGCATATAATTCATCTGTTACGATTCACGCCTGTGATCTTTTATCAGTTACGATTCACGCGGTGATTCTTTATCTGTTACGATTCACGCCTGTGATCCTTTATCTGTAACGATTCACGCCTGTGATCTTTTATCTGTTACGATTCACGCCTGTGATCTTTTATCAGTTACGATTCACGCGGTGATTCTTTATCTGTTACGATTCACGCCTGTGATCTTTTATCTGTTACGATTCACGCCTGTGATTCTTTATCTGTTACGATTCACGCGTGTGATTCTTTATCTGTTACGATTCGCGCCTGTGATCTTTTATCTGTTACGATTCACGCCTGTGATTCTTTATCTGTTACGATTCACGCCTGTGATCCCTTATCTGTTACGATTCACGCCTGTGATCCTTTATCGGTTACGATTCACGCCTGTGATCCTTTATCTTTTACGATTCACGCCTGTGATCCTTTATCTGGTACGATTCACGCCTGTGATCCTTTATCTGTTACGTTCCACGCCTGTGATCCTTTATCTGTTTACGTTGCTTCTAGCTAACTACATATTATGTAACCTAACCGTCACAACAAGAACATGTCTGATATAAGTTACGATTCACGCGTGTGATTCTTTATCTGTTACAATTCACGCCTGTGATCCTTTATCTGTTACGATTCACGCCTGGGATTCTTTATCTGTTACGATTCACGCCTGTGATTCTTTATCTGTTACGATTCACGCGTGTGATTCTTTATCTGTTACGATTCACGCCTGTGATTCTTTATCTGTTACGATTCACGCGTGTGATCCTTTATCTGTTACGATTCACGCCTGTGATCCTTTATCTGTTTACGTTGCTTCTAGATAACTACATATTATGTAACCTAACCGTCACAACAAGAACATGTCTGATATAAATATAGAGGTCTTAATTCTATCATTTACGTCGTTCTGGCAGATAACCAGCTGTTTTATCTTTATAATTCTCGATATATTACTTTTATAAAACACCAGGGTAAATAAAAGCCCGTACTCCTTTCTGGCAAACACACATATCGATAAGTTTAGTCACTATAAATATGTTTAGTTATTTTCTTTTTTCGTTTCAAAGTCATTTTGTTTAATATATCATGCTAAATATCACACATGGATAACACGACTTACATATATTTAATGATTGGTTTAGTCTTCACATAAACCTTAATACATTTATTCCCCCCCCCCCCCCCCCCCCACAAAACANTCTAATATATCTGATAAACTGATAAAGGTTTTTCAATATTATATTCATGCGATCTTAAGTTAACTTCTGGTTTTTTTCCTTCTAGAAACAGTATATATATATAATATTTTGTATACAAAATTATGTAGTTAAGAAGTATAGGAGCAATTTCAGTAACTCCAAAAAGTATTGTTTCTAACTTGTTTCTAACTAGTATCGAGTATTTTCCTGTAAAATCTCTCCTTTAAATCTTGCCAAAGCTTTCAGGAGTGCAGATATTCCTAAAATAGTTGTTCTGTAGTTTCTATTTGTATTTTACACATATTACAGATATTGTCATTTGCGATCCCAATAGTATTTGGATATTTCCTAATTGGGAGGATACCATTTTGTTATCTGTATTGAAACCTTTAAAGACAATACTATATGAACTTTCAAATCTATATTTATAAAATGTTATTTCAATTCCTATTTTCTTTCAGCTGTATTTACCAATTTAATTTTACTCTTTAATATGTCATACATGTCTTTACAACCTTTTATTTCTTTATGATAATATTAATATGACTGGATATGAAGGGCCTCTGCAAAGTGATTTCTGCAGTTAAGTTATTACTATTTTATTGGTTACTCCCTTTTCAGCGTCGTTAGCTATGTATAGTTTACAGTACAAACCTTATCATTCTCAGATAAACGTTAGGTTATTACTATTTTATTGGTTACTCCCTTTTCAGCGTCGTTAGCTATGTATTGTTTCACAGTACTCACCTCATAAACCTCAGGTAAACGTTAAGTTATTACTACACGGGATCTCTCTATATTTGAATACAGTGGTGTCATTGCTGAGTGCAATAAGGTCCCTTTATGCTGCTGAGATAAAGAGCTTTTCTAGGTCACATTTGTGGAGCTTTCCAGAAGATATAAACAATTAATTTCGTGTCGTTGATTTTAATGTCAGACAATGGCATAACATCATCCTGTTTCGTGACGGACCACCCGGGGTTTATGAGTTGATGCTACCTAGATAATAATGGTGACCTTCAACATTTCTCTAGGATCATTTTTTTGTAGTGTTCATAACGCCCTTTGTATTACGAACATTAAATGAGAACTCAATAAAATCAGTCCTAAGTATACTTTGATGACTAGCGTTTGAAGACAACACAACTGTATCATCATTATCAAATTCGACTCGTTTGGCTTCCTTATTTGGGTATTAACGAACCTCTTGCAACTCGGTTGTTTACGAAATTCGAATTTTTCGTCAAAGGATCAGATGTCATCAACATCAGTAATATCCAACACCATACGTTCTCGAGAATTATAAAGTGTTGTAAGGACAGGGAATAGTGGTATGTTGCGCATATGGTATACAAAGCTATATAGACGTAGAGCAGTTTCGTTTTATGATAAGAAAGTAGCATCTATACGATGCTATGGTTGTAACTCCTCGATGATAAATCAATCTGAGACTGCAGAATAGTATAGATTCAGTTTTAATGTAAAATAACCCGCTATATCGTAGTGCATGGTATGGAAAGGAGACAGTCAGTTATAATTAAAATCGATTAATGAACAAGATTTTTGGAGTTTAAGTTAGTTACACAATCACTAAAGATAATTATATATTAGAAAACGGATACAACTATTTCAATACGAACTTATAGACAATTTCGATACATATGTGTGAGCTGTTTTCCATTCTGTCCCATTCAGTGTACCAATACAGTAAGGACTTCAGAGTGACCGATCAAGTCAGACAGGAGTTTGACCAACACGGATACATTGTTCTCAAGTAAGTCATTTAACAGTGTATTTATAATAATAAAACAACCGATGAGGTACAAAAAGGCATTAGAATCTATCAAGCGCTCTGGAAGGAAAAGCTCACAACTTCTGACAAATGTCATGACGATCCTGTCAAATCCGATCTAATACAGAATAAATATATGGCGTTAAATATGGTAGACTTCAATCACATTGTAGAATGATGACGACCGTTTCTACAGCATAACTGAAGCCCGAGGTTTGATTGTATAACTCATAAGTCAGCACAACACTCGTCTACTAGTATCCAGTATCCAGTTGTTTGATACTTCGACCAGACCCGAAGCGAACACCTCAGACACGCGAAACTTCATTTGGTCTGGTATGCTAAGATTTGTACTGAGGAAAGGTGGGGGAAACGATCCTGATGTTGATTTCGTCTTTGTCTAAGAGTTAATGTATTCTAGCTACTTCTACTTTAATTAATACCCTTTATGCAATTATCGATTTGATACATAACAGTTGTCTGAATTATTTTCTTACAGTTCTTAAGGCCACAGAGACACATATATAATTGCCGAAATATTGTGCAGTATGCTATTTATTGTTAACTCCTTTTTAGAGGTGTACTGGACAAAGAGGAGGTGTCACTCGTAGAGAAGACTATCGGAGGATCTGATGCCATCACTAAACACAAGTTTGGGGTAATATTATAACGCTGTATATCTAATGCCATAACAACGTAGTATAAGTTATGTCACCACATACAAACCTATTTGGAGTAATACATTAACTTTTGGAATCAAAATAATTTTATTGCAAATCTGATATTCTCACATCTATATTCTAGGATGCTGATATATTAAAATGTACACAAGAAATGATTTTGATGCAATAGAATTAAATACATTAAATGGTATTAATGTTCTGTCAGTATGGTATATCACCTTTTATTATTGCTTTTTTTTTATCCAGTATTGTATTATCTCGTTATTTTTACTACGATTAAACACTCTAGTCACTTATTTGTAATGTCTCAGCATTTTAAAGATGTAATCAAAATGTAATTTATCCTATTTGATAAGGAATATATTTTTAAAGTATTTTGTTGCCTAGGATTTCGTCGATGGTGGAAGAAAGACTGATACTGTGTTGTGGAAACACCCCGGAAATGACGTGACTGGAATGGTTTCTCGAAGTGAGAAAGTAGCCGGCATAGCTGAACAGGTATATGTACACAGTTAGCTAAAACCTGTAACATAAGTTAAGGTTGTATACATATCAGGTTCTAAACTCTCTCAATTCTTGTTGCGATCGACATCCAAATAAGGTGACAGTGAGGGACTTAATTTAAAAATAAAAATATCTGAGAGAAAGAATGAACCTATTAAAATAGATAAAGATATATTGAAAACAAGAAAGATAGAAAATGTTCCCCCCCCCCCCCCTGTTTCTGTTGATAGTAATAGAAGGGCAATTTATCATAGAAAATAACATTTCATTCTCTAAATTATCCAAATGTTACATTGTAAATTAATAAATAATACTTGTAAGAAAGAGTACACCTTTTATTTTACAATCGAAGTTTTTCTTACTTACTCATCAAAAAAGAAACACCGAAGAGGGCATATCTTATATGTTGCGTGCATTTCAACATGTTTATTTTTTATATCATGATATCATAAATGGACATCCTCCATGCTATTGTCACGTAACTCAAAAGTACTTTCAGCCGATAAAGCAATACAACGAGTGCTACATGTTTGCAATATAAATGTACCTGCCTACAATAAAACACAAAAAAGCGGTAAACGGACGTTTCCGAAAAATGTTTTAAATTGCGAAATGCTTTTTTATATAGTTGCTTGGAGGAGAGGTTTATCACTACCATACAAAGTTGATGCTAAAGGAAGGAGGTAGAGGAGCGAAGCATGCATGGCACCAAGACTACTCGTAAGTCGTTCACAAGTTTGTTTTTAATATTAATGTCTCTAAGCGGGTATCAGTAACTACCATAAGGGGTATCACTGAATGAATGTCACCGGTATGGTACCTACGTATATATTATTTCACTTTTTGCATAGACTGTACACACACTACACACGTAGGTAACATACGGAGATTGTACACACACTACACACCTACGGAGACTGTACAAACACTACACACGTAGTTAACATACGGATACTGTTCACATACTACACACGTAGGTAAAATACGGAGACTGTACAAACACTACACACGTAGTTAACATACGGAGACTGTACACACACACGTAGGTAACATACGGAGACTGTACACACACTACACACGTAGGTAAAATACGGAGACTTAACACACACAACACACGTAGGTAACATACGGAGACTGTACACACATTACACACGAAGGTAACATACGGAGACTGTACACAAACTACACACGTAGGTAACATAGGGAGACTGTACACATACTACACACGTAGGTAACATACGGAGATTGTACACACACTACACACGTAGGTAACATAAGGAGACTGTACACACATTACACACGAAGGTAACATACGGAGACTGTACACACACTACACACGTAGGATACGGAGACTTAACACACACAACACACGTAGGTAACATACGGAGACTGCACACACACTCGAACGTAGGTAACATACGGAGACTGTACACACACACGTAGGTAACATACGGAGACTGTACCCATACTACACACGTAGGTAACATACGGATACTTTGCACACACTACACACGTAGGTAATATACGGAGACTGGACACACACTACACACGTAGGTAACATACGTATACTGTACATATACTACACTCGTAGGTAACATACTTAGACTGTACACATACTACACACGAAGGTAACATACGGAGACTGTACACATACTACACACGAAGGTAACATACGGAGACTGTACACAAACTACACACGTAGGTAACATAGGGAGACTGTACACATACTACACACGTAGGTAACATACGGAGACTGAACACATACTACACACGTAGGTAACATACTGAGACTGTACACATACTACACACGTAGGTAACATACGGAGACTACACACACTACACACGTAGGTAACATACGGAGACTGTACACATACTACACACGTAGGTAACATACGGATACTTTGCACACACTACACACGTAGGTAATATACGGAGACTGTACACACACTACACACGTAGGTAACATACGGATACTTTGCACACACTACACACGTAGGTAATATACGGAGACTGTACACACACTACACACGCAGGTGACATACGGAAACTGTACACATACTACGCACGTAGGTAACATACGGAAACTATACACACACTACACACGTAGGTAACATACGGAAACTGTACAAACACTAAACACGTAGGTAAAATACGGAGACTGTACACATACTACACACGTACGTAACATACGGAGAATGTACACACACTATACACGTAGGTAACATACGGAGACTGTACACATACTACACTCGTAGGTAACATACGGAGACTGTACACATACTACAGACGTAGGTAACATACGGAGACTGTACACACACTACACACGTAGGTAACATACGTAGAATGTACACACACTACACACGTAGGTAACATTCGGAGACTGTACACACACTACACACGTAGGTAACATACGGAGACTATACACACACAACACACGTAGGTAACATACGGCGACTGTACACACACTACACACTACACACACTACACACGTAGGGAACATTCGGAGACTGTACACACACTACACACGTAGGTTACATACGGAGACTGTACACAATACACACGTAGGTAACATACGGAGACTGTACACACATTACACACCGTAGGTAACATACGGTGACTGAACACTCACTACACACGTAGGTAACATACGGAGACTGTACACATACTACACACGAAGGTAACATACGGAGACTTAACACACACTACTCACGTAGGTAACATACGGAGACTGTACACATACTACCTGTACACACACTACACACGTAGGTAACATAGGGAGACTGTACACACATTACACACGTAGGTAACATACGGAGACTGTACGCACACTACACACGTAGGTAGCATACGGAGACTGTACACACACTACACACGTGGGTAACATACGGAGACTGTACACGTACTACACACCTAGGTAACATACGGAGACTGTACACACACTATACACGTGGGTAACATACGGAGACTGTACACACACTAAACACGTAGGTAACATACGGAGACTGTACACATACTACCTGTACACACACTACACACGTAGGTAACATACGGAGACATAACACACACTACACATGTAGGTAACATACGGATACTGTACACACACAACACACGTAGGTAACATACGGAGACTGTACAGAGACTGTACACACACTATACGCGGAGGTAACATACGGATACTGTACACACACTACACACGTAGGTTACATACGGAGACTGTACACATTCTACACACGTAGGTAACATACGGAGACGGTACACACAAAACACACGTAGGTAACGTAGGGAGACTGTACACACACTATACACGTAGGTAACATACGGAGACTGTACACATACTACACACGTAGGTAACATACGGAGACGGTACACCCAAAACACACGTAGGTAACGTAGGGAGACTGTACACACACTATACACGTAGGTAACATACGGAGACTGTACACACACTACACACGTAGGTAACATACGGAGACTGTATACATACTATACATGTAGGTAACATACGGAGACTGTACACACACAACACACGTAGGTAACATACGGAGACATAACACACACTGCACACGTTGGTAACATACGGAGACTGTACACACACTGCACATGTAGGTAACATACGGAGACATAACACACACTACACACGTAGGTTACATACGGAGACTGTACACATACTACACACGTAGGTAACATACGTAGACTGTACACACACTACACACGTAGGTAACATACGTAGACATACGGAGACTGCACACACACTCGAACGTAGGTAACATACGGAGACTGTACACACACTACACATGTAGGTAACATACGGAGACTGTACACACACACTACACTCGTAGGTAACATACTGAGACTGTACACACACTACGCACGTAGGTAACATACGGAGACTGTACACACATTACACACCGTAGGTAACATACTGAGACTGTGCACACACTACACACGTAGGTAACATACGGAGACGGTACACACAAAACACACGTAGGTAACATACGGAGACTGTACACCCACTACTACACACACTACACACGTAGGTAACATACGGAGACGGTACACACAAAACACACGTAGGTAACATACGGAGACTGTACACCCACTACTACACACACTACACACGTAGGTAACATACGGAGACATAACACACACTGCACACGTTGGTAACATACGGAGACTGTACACACACTACAAATGTAGGTAACATACGGAGACATAACACACACTTCACACGTAGGTTACATACGGAGACTGTACACATACTACACACGTAGGTGGCATACGGAGACTGTACAAATTCTACACACGTAGGTAACATACGGAGACTGCATAACACACACTGCACACGTTGGTAACATACGGAGACTGTACACACACTACATACGTAGGTAACATACGGAGACTGTACACACATTACACTCGTAGGTAACATACTGAGACTGTGTAACATACGGAGACATAACACACACTTCACACGTAGGTTACATACGGAGACTGTACACATACCACACACGTAGGTAACATACGGAGACTGTACACACATTACACACGTAGGTAACATACGGAGACTGTACACGATACACACGTAGGGAACATACGGAGACTGTACACACATTACACTCGTAGGTAACATACTGAGACTGTACACATTCTACACTCGTAGTTAACATACGGAGACTGTACACACACCACACACGTAGGTAACATACGGAGACTGTACACACACTACAAATATAGGTAACATACGGAGACATAACACACACTACACACGTAGGTAACATACGGGGACTGTACACACACTACACACCTAGGTAACATACGGAGACTGTACACACACTATACACGGAGGTAACATACGGAGACTGTACACACACTCCACACGTAGGTAACATACGGAGACTGTACACATTCTACACTCGTAGGTAACATACGGAGACTGTACGCATACTACACACATAGGTAACATACGGAGACTGTACACACACACTACACTCGTAGGTAACATACTGAGACTGTACACATTCTACACTCGTAGTTAACATACGGAGACTGTACACACACCACACACGTAGGTAACATACGGAGACATAACACACACGCAGGTAACATACGGAGACTGTACACACACTACACACGTAGGTAACATACGGAGACTGTACACATTCTACACTCGTAGTTAACATACGGAGACTGTACACACACTACACACGTAGGTAACATACGGAGACTGTACACATACTACACACGTAGGTGGCATACGGAGACTGTACACATTCTACACACGTAGGTAACATACGGAGACTGCACACACACTACACACGTAGGTAACATACGGAGACTGTACACACATTACTCTCGTAGGTAACATACTGAGACTGTACACACACTACTCTCGTAGGTAACATACTGAGACTGTACCCACACTACACACGTAGGTAACATACGGAGACTGTACACACACTACACTCGTAGGTAACATACGGAGACTGTACACACATTACTCTCGTAGGTAACATACTGAGACTGTACACACACTACTCTCGTAGGTAACATACTGAGACTGTACACACACTACACACGTAGGTAACATACGGAGACTGTACACATACTACACATGTAGGTAACATACGGAGACACAACACACACTGCAAACGTAGGTAACATACGGAGACTGTACACACATTACACTCGTAGGTAACATACTGAGACTGTACACACACTACACACGTTGGTAACATACGGAGACTGTCCACGTACTACACACCTAGGTAACATACGGAGACTGTATACACACTACACATGTAGGTAACATACGGAGTCATAACACACACTGCAAACGTACGTGACATACGGAGACTGTACACACACTTCAGACGTAGGTAACATACGGAGACTGAACACATACTACACACGTAGGTAACATACGGAGACTGTACACACACTACACATGTAGGTAACATACGGAGACATAACACACACTGCAAACGTACGTGACATACGGAGACTGTACACACACACTACACACGTAGGTAACATACGGAGACTGTACACACACTGCAAACGTAGGTAACATACGTTGACTGTACACACACTACACACGTAGGTAACATACGGAGACTGTACACATACTACACACGTAGGTAACATACGGAGACTGTATACACACTTCACACGTAGGTAACATACGGAGACTTAACCCACACTACACACGTAGGTAAAATACGGAGACTGTACACATACTACACACGTAGGTAACATACGGAGACTGTACACACACTACACACGTAGGTAACATACGGAGACTTAACACACACTACACACGTAGATAACATACGGAGACTGTACACACACAACACACGTAGGTGGCATACGGAGACTGTACACACACTGCAAACGTAGGTAACATACGTAGACTGTACACACACTACACACGTAGGTGACATACGGAGACTGTACCCACACTGCAAACGTAGGTAACATACGGAGACTTAACACACACACACACTACACACGTAGGTTACATACGGAGACTGTACACAAACTACACATGTAGGTAACATACGGAGACTTAACACACACGACACACGTAGATAACATACGGAGACTGTACACACACTACACACGTAGGTAACATACGGTGACTTAACACACACTACACACGTAGATAACATACGGAGACTGTACACACACTACACACGTAATTAACATACGGAGACAAAAAAACATTGTTAGCTGCAATGGCAGCATCCATTTTGTGATATTTGTAACGAAAGTGTCATCATAATAAATCAGTTCCTTTTCGTGTTTTGATGCTCAGAATTCAATGGTGTTATGACATACAGTAGATCTTTATAAATAGTATTACATAATTCAGAAGATCAAAGTGTTAGATATGCTTGATATCCTTGAGATTAATAGATGTAATTAACTAACTTATAATTTGTTTAACCCACACGTACATGGTACACTGGTCATATGTTATTATGTATACCTACATTATTTAATAATCACATATATCAAACCAGACACATCATCAGTAGCTTGTAGCGGACATCTCGACTGACGTATGTTCTTTTTCCCTCTGAGACGACCGCTGTTGATCTATTTTACTAGGGATAATGTCTTTATGACAGCAGGAGTTGTCGACCATATATACATTGAACATATGAGAATTCTGTAAAACTTCCTTTGTCAGGTATTGGTACTGGAACGGTTGTCTGTTCCCCGACATGTTGACAGTTTTTATCCCCTTGGATGACTGTCGGAAGGAAAATAGCTGTCTCCAGGTACAGTGTGCGGACTTACTTTGTTTTTTAATCAATAAATATATTACAAAAAAGGAAAATATTTTTCATTTTAGCTACGTTTGGTTCTTAATCATACACCAACGATTCTTATATTAACTAATGAAATATTACTCTTCCTACATACTGTTATTAATGTTTGCTGGTTTAAACATTTCTTCCTGTAAAGACTTCGCTGTCGAGATTACCGTCAAAAACTACATATTCTTAATGAACAGCAGAGAGAAAATATCTCGTGTTAACATGAGTCCTAACCATAGACATACAGATTTTACTTTAAAATCTATCCTTTAGAATATGTAAGTCATATAATATAAAGGTTTAAAGTATAATACACATTCTGAGATACTCATACACACATAAAGAGGTACAGTTTATGTTTTATTCATACTCTAGGATGCTACACAGATATTCATACATATTGATAGTACATAGCTAATGATGATTCAGAGATTTGCCCCCCTATATAGAGGTACTATACATATCTAATTCACATTCTGATAGGCTAACGCAGAGGAGATTACTGAAGGTCAAACTAAAGCGTAGTTTGAACTCAGAATCGAGGTAACTACGGCAACTACGAATACGAGAAAATCCTTACAGGGACACCCATGAACAAATTCAAGAGTATAAGGTGATGCGTTCCGTAAGTTTTGGCGTCTTCTACTTCATCAGCGACAATGGCCTTGTACATTTAGGTCAGTTGACTGGTCAAATCGAGGTAACGTCACGGCTCCAAAGTGAGAACCGCGGTAGTTAAGTGACAACTCCCCACCCATAGAAGCAAAATATAAGCATCATAAAAAACCCACTTTATATTGCACAAAGAAATAAAAAAAAATCAGCCTGCATCTCTCGAAAACCTGAATTCGTCCATCACCATCTGATGTCTAATACATAATTCGTATATTCCAACTTAGCAATACTAAATTATCTGCGACATGTCAATAGCGTAGGTGGGAAAAGCAGGGATATTGATATACTAGGATAGGGAAAGTTTACTATCACGACATCAAAATCGTTTATCACACATCTTAGTTAGAAGTCGTCCATCGTGGTCATGTTGTAAGTAAAATTGAATAGGAGACTAATTTAAACAGTCTGTAGTATCCTAGTCTGTTATTATTATTACTAAATGCAGATTCTTAGAGGCTCGCACAAATGTGGCCGTATTCATCATAAAACTGTGGGAGAACAGAATGGGTGTGATGTGGAGAGGATTGAGGAACTCAAGGCAGTTTGTCCTCATGTTTTCATGGAAATCGACGCCGGTATGTAAAAACACGCACTACCCCTATCATTTAAGGTTGGTGTTTTTTTGTTGATTTTACACTTATATGAAATACCTTGTACCTTTAAATTGTCTATTGTAAAACATGAACTACTCAATTATAAAAGAAATTATACAATTCATTCAACTTGACTATAAATACTTAATACAATTATTGTTTTTCCTGTCGTTTTAGGAGATGCCGTCTTTTTCCATTGTAACATCATACACAGCAGTAGTCAAAACGACAGCCATAAAAGGAGGTGGGCTTTCCTCACGGCCTACAACAGAGCGACTAACAACCCTACCAAAGTACACCATCACCCTCAGTATACCCCGCTCGAGAAGGTTTGTCGATACGTAATGTCATATTCTCGAAACCAGAAAAGACATAATTCACCTGACCTTGGAAGTTTTTGTGAACACAAGCTATCGGTTACGTACTTATTGTACTTCGCAACATGGCCTGTTACTGTATCCTAAATAACACACTAAAAAGTTCATTCATATCATGAAGTGCACCAGTTACATTTCATTTTTGCGAATGCCCACTACATCCATTTATTTGCCATTTGAAAACTATTCAACGATTAATATAGAGAGGTGTAGTTTACGAAATGTGTGAAACACAACAGTACTGTAAATACTGTAACAGTGGATATTTTTGCGCTTGGAAATGTTCGAGTTGTGACCCTTTCAATTGATCTCAGTTTGGAAAATTTTGTTTTAGCACTAGTGCTGAATTTTACGTATAACATTCATCTATTATCTCTATATCATGACAAGGAATTTTCGCGAATGAAATTTTTTGCGACAACGTACTGAACACAAAAAAATGCGAATATACCCAATTTTACAGTAATACATAATACTGGCATGTCGCGTGTAGTCGGTCATGCTTGTTAAATAACAATAAACTTGACCGAAAAGTCCGTGAGTTATTAATATCACAGCAAAATAATCTATAAACAAATCTCTTTCAAATTGTAGTTGTTAAAGTCAGTTACTTGTGTTTATTATGCTATAAGTCATGTTTCTCCGAATGTGTTACAGGTTCCGAATACTGCAATCAAGGAGTGCAAGAACCTAACAGACATGACTGGCAAGGAATTTGTAGATCCCGTTATTGAAACTACATACAAATCCTTGTTTAAGGACGGAAACAGCACCCGATGATAGATCGATCGGTGTAATGAGATACCTCTCTGGTGTCGCAATTAAACTGATCACAGAACGGCAATAGTACGGAGTGGATGGACAATAGTGCTACATTTTTGAAAGTGTAGTACAGCGAAAGATTTCTACTAAAATCAAGAATCCCTCACAGAATATATTCATGATAACGCACTACTACTATCACACCATTGTGTACTAAGATAAACATGATGTTTCAATTACTTGACCTACACAATAAAGATATGTTGATTATTAAAACAGTGTATGAATTCTTTTTTATTTACGAACGTACTAATGGGAATACGGTCTATGTTCTGATAGAACATCTGTTACGACAAGTAGGGATATTAAATTGCCTCATCATCATTCACATTACCTTATCTCATAGCCCTGTATGGACAATGTACCATACAATAAACAGTACAAACGTTATTGATAAGCTCAATGAGCGATAAAAATAATATATACTGTGCCGGAAAGAGAGTAATCTGCTTTTATAACATAGGAGGGGTCATTTCAAATAAAAAAAAACCAAAGCGGTGTCCATATGACTGTAACACGTACGTGTTATACAGGGACTTCGGGGGATACTCGTGGATATGCAAAATGACTTTAGTAATATACATTATACGTCTGCCGATGACTGAACATAATTTAACCTTTATATATTCTAAATATCTGCTATATACTTGAAAATAGCTATCAGGAAAGTCTAATATCTGAAGTCGTGTTTTATTTATGCGCCACATTTTGTTAAAAAACTAAACAAAATGTATAAGAGGTTAGTTGACTCATATTCCAAAACCTATTATGTGGGATGTATATTTCTATGTAACGGTTTGATGAGTGATGCTAACTCATTGGCTGTCGACAGTGTACTGACCACGTACAGGTCTTAAGCTCTTTATTTAGTGTCAAAGGTCGGTAACTGTGCGATTTATTATTAACACTGTTTGATAATACGTTTGTTTATGTGCGGAGGTCTCAGCCAAGATTGTTAAATCGCTTGTTAGGGAATGTCTCGACGATTTCACTGAACCTCCACCCCTATATTGTACCTCTGATAGTTCAGCTGATGTACTGGCTCATCTATCTTTAAACTCTATAGAGATAACCCCTGATTACTTTATTGGCAACGATAACAGATTTAGAGTAGCATATTAAATCACGGTAAATATTATTCTAAAATCATCATTAAAACGACAATTTAGTGATGATTCCAACATAAGCCTTGATATTATTGTATGTAAGCAGAAGCAAACAGCTTGGCCTATATTTATTTGTGATGGACTATTTATATATATATATGTAATATTGTAGGAATACATGTGTATACATATATTACGGTAACATGTAAATGTAAAGTTCTGTTATCATCTACTTGACACTTTGTGTACCATTATCAGCGGGCGAATCAAGTACAGGTGGGTCCAGTAGTCATTATTTATGCATTTCTCCATAAGTATTTCACAAACTCTAAGACAGGTAGAATATCTATATAGATACAAATTAAGCATTAGTACAACGTGTTGCAAACATTTGATATTATCAATATAAAACACATTGACATAAATGATACAAAACTCAAGCTGTAACGTACTGAAAGTATTCGTGGTTTCAGGATACATACCACCTACGATCATTCTAGAAGTTTACACATAACAAAGAAGATGGCGGAGGTTTCCGGTAAGTTGTCACTTGTATATAATTGTCGTAATTATGTCAGTGCAAACTAAACAATGAAGGGATCAGCACTAGTATAAAGCTTCTTTTTATTTTTGAGGTACTTAACTTTTCGGGACACTTTCTATTCGCTATGCTTTAATTCCATGCTCTTATTCGTCAGGATCGCCAGCACAACCGAATCAGTGGCGTCCATATTCCGTCAAATGCGAAGGCGGTAACCAACTAACAAACGATTTATTGACTTAATATATATATAGCCAACATTTATATAACAAATGTTTCCAATTATCAACCCAATTTATAATGAACAACTCAATATAGAAAATATGTTTTATAATAAATATGATCGATTATAAGTCAAGTTTTCATTAACAACTGTATGTGTAAAGAAGATTAAGAACTTACCACGAACAACACCAACAACTCTGAGAATTAAGAATAATCAACTAAACCCGACTAATTAAATAATTCAAATCTTAACCACAGCGTTTTTGTCTGTATTTCAGTATACAACTACAGTGAAGAATTCAAAGTGACAGAAGACGTGAGACGGGACTTCGAAGACTATGGTTATATAATACTGAAGTATAGTAACGCTTTTACATACTTTTATTTACAAAAATAATGTTAAAAACTGAAACAATCGCGCTAATTTACGATCCTTTAAATAAATACCAAAAAGGATCTTAACAATATTCTTTCAAGGATATTGACAGTAAAGCGTCAGAACGGTGCTGAATTATACTTTGTGTTGCATCTCTAACGAAGACAAGTTCCAATTTGTTAGGTACGTTTTCTTAATTGCAATTTCTTGCATTTTGCTATAGCAAAGTGCTATGTGAAAGAAATTTTTATATTGTCATTTTCTTTTTCACAAACTATCACTGTCCAAGGGGAATGCGACCCTGTTCGTGATGTAATATTCCTTAGCTGTTACAAAACTCCCTTAGTTTGCCTTTACTTGCCTTGTTAATGAAGACAGAAGAATCTTCTCAAAGCCTTCACATTGCGTTATTTCTAAAGCATTCCCTATGGCACGAACAATCGTTGTCATGTAACTTTGGAAAGGAGCTAATCCATATTTTCAGGTTCCAACAGATTTGTATACTTTTTGCTGTTTAGATATTTATAAAAAAATGAATTGTTTTATATCATATCCTGATAAAATGCAAAAACAAATCCATACGAAAAGGGGATTACTGGACAAAGAAGAGCTTTCTCTGATAGAGACCACCATTAAAGGGCCGAGCTTCACTGAGAATATTTACGGGGTAAGTTTTAGGTAGTAAGTATGATGTTAGGTATGATGAAGGCATTCTGATGGTATACCGTGTCATATAAACATGTCAATTTTCAAATACTAGACTATTTATCATATATATATATATATATGCGAAATTAGTCAAATAAGTTAATATGACTATATGGTGCTATTTTATGACGTCAAAAGGACATATATATATATTACGCTACAGTCAGTACAGTAAATATATATTAATGTACGGTCGATACAGTATACACTAACCTACTTTCAAAACAGTGCATTATATATCAATCTATATTTCAAAACAGTATAATATATGCTAACTTCTTTCAAAATACTGCAATATTAGATAAGGTGTATTTTTCTTCATGCGCATTAGTAATCACATAGAGATCGATAATTTGTGATAGTGACATGGTGTTACTTTGTTTAGAAACATAACGTTAATATCCATTTTGTGACGTAATTCAATTATAACGTCACTATGCAACCTGCAACATGCAGTATATTTCTCTTGACGATTTGCCAATGTGGTGTGTTGATAAACGATAAAAGCAAAATAATTGCATATCTAATTTAACAAGTAAACACGTTAATTTCGGTAAATATAGGTTGTATGGACCTGAGAGGAATATTAAACTCGCATTCTCAGGTTAACTTAACCACATCTTCACCTCAACTAAAGTCCATATCAGTAAATATGTAGTACAACGCATATAAACCTACTGACAATACAGTATACTATTAACTTACTGTCAGCACTGACAATGTGATATACAATAACCTACTGTCAGTACTGACAATGTTATACACAATAACCTACTGTCAGTACTGACAATGTGCTATACAATAACCTACTGCCACTACTGTAAAACATTGTGATACACAATAACCTACTGTCAGTACTGAAAATATGATACACAATAACCTACTTTCAGTACTGACAAAGTGATGTCAGTACTGACAATATGACATACAATAACCTACTGTCAGTACTGACAATGTGCTATACAATAACCTACTGCCACTACTGTAAAACATTGTGATACACAATAACCTACTGTCAGTACTGTCAATGTGATACACAATAACCTACTGTCAGTATTGACAATGTGATACACAATAACCTACTGTCATTACTGACAATATGATACACAATAACCTACTGTCAGTACTGACGATGTGATACACAATAACCTACTGTCAGTACTGTCAATGTGATACACAATAACCTACTGTCAGTATTGACAATGTGATACACAATAACCTACTGTCATTACTGACAATATGATACACAATAACCTACTGTCAGTACTGAAAATATGATACACAATAACCTACTTTCAGTACTGACAAAGTGATGTCAGTACTGACAATATGACATACAATAACCTACTGTCAGTACTGACAATATGTTATACAATAACCTACTGTCAGTACTGACAATGTAATACACAATAACCTACTGTCAGTACTGACAAAGTGATGTCAGTACTGACAATGTGATATACAATAACCTACAGTCAGTACTGACAATGTGATATACAATAACCTACTGTCAGGACTGACAATGTGATATACAATAACCTACTGCCACTACTGTAAAACATTGTGATACACAATAACCTACTGTCAGTACTGACAATGTTATACCCAATAACCTACTGTCAGTACTGACAATATGCTATACAATAACCTACTGTCAGTACTGACAATGAGATACACAATAACCTACTGTCAGTACTGAAAATGTGATATACAATAGCCAACTGTTTGTACTGACAATATGATATACAATAACCTACTGTCGGTACTGACAATGTGACATACAATAACCTACTGTCAGTACTGACAATGTAATACACAATAACCTACTGAAAGTACTGACAATATGATATACAGTAACCTACTGTCAGTACTGACAATGTGATATACAATCCCCTAATGTCAGTACTGACAATGTGATACACAATAACCTACGGTCAGTACTGACAATATGATATACAGTAACCTACTGTCAGTACTGACAATGTGATATCCAATAGCCAACTGTTTGTACTGACAATATGATATACAATAACCTACTGTCGGTACTGACAATGTGACATACAATAACCTACTGTCAGTACTGACAATGAGATACACAATAACCTACTGTCAGTACTGAAAATGTGATATACAATAGCCAACTGTTTGTACTGACAATATGATATACAATAACCTACTGTCAGTACTGACAATGTAATACACAATAACCTACTGTCAGTACTGACAAAGTGATGTCAGTACTGACAATGTGACATACAATAACCTACTGTCAGTACTGACAATGTTATACACAATAACCTACTGTCAGTACTGACAATATGTTATACAATAACCTACTGTCAGTACTGACAATGTTATACACAATAACCTACTGTCAGTACTGACAAAGTGATGTCAGTACTGACAATATGACATACAATAACCTACTGTCAGTACTGACAATGAGATACACAATAACCTACTGTCAGTACTGAAAATGTGATATACAATAGCCAACTGTTTGTACTGACAATATGATATACAATAACCTACTATCAGTACTGACAATGTGATACACAATAACCTTCTTTCAGTACTGACAAAGTGATGTCAGTACTGACAATGTGATATACAATAACCTACAGTCAGTACTGACAATGTGATATACAATAACCTACTGCCACTACTGTAAAACATTGTGATACACAATAACCTACTGTCAGTACTGTCAATGTGATACACAATAACCTACTGTCAGTATTGACAATGTGATACACAATAACCTACTGTCAGTACTGACAATGTGATATACAATAACCTACTGCCACTACTGTAAAACATGTTAACCTACTCTCTCTATCGTAGTAGAGTACAGGAAAATGCACATCCAATTAATACCAAATAAAGTGCAATTTGTATACATGATACACGTCTTTAGGATGTCGAGTATGGTAAGAAAACTGACAAGGTGTTGTGGAAACATCCGGGAAATGACATCACTGGAATGTTGGCACGAAGTGAAAAGGTTGCAGGTGTAACAGAACAGGTAAGAACACTGATGATCCATGATGTAGTCTGATATATTATAACTACTGTTGATTAGAATACCGTGTTCTATTTTTTTATTTATAAAATAATGTTTTTTAATTTTATGTCATTGATATGTACATACAATGTAAGTATAGGTTGAGAGCCGTGACATCACAGTAGTATAAGTTACAAAAGTCGATGCAAGAAAACAATACCAGGAATTGAGGAGATACCAGAACAGATGACGACATACCATAAGCCCCCAAATTATCTAAAGGCGAAACTTGATTACCGGAATGTCGTGTCCTATACCTATAGCACCTGTCATAAACAATCGTTAAGTTCCACTGTGTATCACCAGAACACCACATGATCAATCTATCCACAGGCTTTGTCATTCACAGCTGTTAGGAGGAGAGGTGTACCATTACCACACCAAGCTTATGCTGAAGGAAGGAGGACGGGGAGCTAGACACGTGTGGCATCAAGACTATGGGTAAAATGTCTTCTAAAATGTGGTATTCTGGTGCACGCTACACTAGCAGCATTGACAGGGTATAATACAATATTAGTGTTACACGGACAAGTATGGAAAAAGGAGTATGGGTAGGAATTCTTACAGCGTTGGCGAATAGCACGTGGCGTCACCTTTATCAATAAGATGTCTTCAAACATTTTCTTAGTCACAAACTTGTAGTATCACTCATACTGATTTTTCTGAAGCGCAAATCTTATTAACAATAAGAATTTCCTTTAATCGCAATTTTGTTATCTTTTTTCTATGACTTCCTATAAGCGAAGCGGAAATGAAGAAAGTTGAATGATTTTTACTTTCAATTTGAGAAAAAACGTGAAAGCTGGATTTGGATAAGAAACGTATTTCGTCATTTAATCCTCAGCGAAGGATACTAACTTTAGATGCTAATCCTATTAGGTACTGGTACAGGAATGGCTGTCTTTTCCCCGACATGCTGACTGTATTCATTCCGTTGGATTACTGCAGGAGAGAAAACAGCTGTCTGCAGGTCAGTGTGGTGGATTCAATCTCTACCACTATTGTCTGGTATAACGCATTTCGATAAAACTTGTATAAAAAATATGATTGCATTTATCACTGTTCTCTTCAATTTTTTGATCAAAAATAATAAGTTCGAGATAATTCTTGAATCTCATACTGTTTGATATTAGACATAAACTATTCTTAGTATGCCAGAACATGTCATGGTTAAGTGAGAAAAGTTACAATGTATGAGAAAAATATTTAATTTTAAATAAGTAAAAATACCCAACTCTAGACGTACATGTATGACCATTTTGTTGAAATAGTTACTACGGGGTTCTCACAAATGTGGCAGGATCGAACACAAACCTTTAGGAGAGCAAAACGGATGTGACGTAGACAGAGTAAAAGAGATAATGGACGTGTGTCCCCATCAGTTCATGGAAATGGATCCTGGTAGGCTTATTACTTACATATCTGTTATCAGTAATAAAACGATTTTATAAAACAATGCAGTGTCTATATTTCAAGTTTATTTTTTAATGTACAAATTTAAACACTGCGTTATGAGTTCATTCTTATATCATTTATTTTACTTTTGATCCAAGTCTTTTGTTTATGTATCCCAGTCATGTGTCATGTTTTCTGTTCAGGCGATGCTATATTTTTCCACTGTAACATCATACACTCTAGTAGTGACAACGATAGTGACAAAAGAAGATGGGCGTTTTTAACGGCTTACAACAAGGCGACCAACAACCCCACAAAGGAACACCACCATCCGCAGTACACCCCTCTCGAGAAGGTAAGTCGTCATCAACATCGCAAAACGTAATACAATATACCCCTATTAGGAATGCAGGTCGAAATAAACCATTTAAAGAAATGATCTTCAATGTACACAGTACACTTCTCTCGGAGGTAGATTGCAAGCAATACTACAAATATATCTTTTGGTATCTTAAATGGTATGATGCGAAATATTTCTGGAACGTCTCAACAACGTCCCAATAGACACTATATTCTATGTCTGAACAGAAAGATCGGGAGCAAAGTAAAGTTAGGCAGTTATTTGTTATTTGGAATACTGTGAAACATGAGTACGTCTGTTTCTTTTACAAGAAGGAAGTCCGATAACAATTAACGATTAACAAGTCAACCATAATGCCAAATTGAAAAAAACACAATGTGATATTTTATTTATAAATTATAGGATAACAGAGAAACCAGACTCCTGTTTTCTTTCTCGAAATATGGTATACAATAAATATGTTATTGCTGTTTTATATAACATAGGTTCCGAACTCTGCCATCAAGACTTGTAAGAATTTCACGGACATGACAGGGAAGATTTTCGTGGATCCGGCCAGGGACCTGACGTACAAAGGCAACTTCATGAATGAGAACAAATCCTAGTTAACGATGTCAACAGAGACAAGCTGACGACAGTCTTGTATACTTAAAGTATAGGACATCTAACTATGGATCTCACGTAGCGTTTTGTGAGGGTATTTTAGGCATTGGTCTCTAATACAACTGTTCTCGAGGATCCGATCTATAACCTTTATTCAAATGACTGGAATAAAAACGCTGTAGCTTAATTCAATTGGGAATCATCCACGTTACCATGTATAAACATCGTTGTTATAATGAAACATTGGCACTGTACATATGTATTTAGTGTATCGTATTACCAGAAACAATAAACAGATGTATAACGCTTACTAGTTACTTGTTACTTGCATTGACCTGTGTTACACATTACCATTGACATATACATCACGTAGCTTCTAATTGGGTGCAAGTTTACATTTAAGAGTTGTTGTCATTTTTTGATTATATCTAAATGTAATGTATAGGTAATGTGAATGAACAATGACCTCCGTGATATATGTCGAATGCCGACGGACAAACTTACAACACAGGTTTTCTGACGATGCAGGTTGATGATGTAATTTTTATGGTCGCCATCGCGATCCTTTGGGATTTTTGACTATACTCATATGAGGATATGCCTTTTAGTGTTGTTGTTAGTACCGAGTCATCGATGTGAGGACGTGACATAACTTGGCGTTGACCTAGATTTGTATGGCGGGTGTCGTCGATGTGAGGACGTGACATAACTTGGCGTTGACCTAGAATTGTATGGCGGGTGTCGTCGATGAAGCAGAATACGTTAAATCTTCCGAAACACCTGGTCTTATTATTTTATTACTTTTTCAAAGGTTTCCTGGTAAATATTTTCTTTGTCCTAGTTTTATCGATCCGAGTTCGAGTTAGGATGTCGTTGATATTATGGTATTTTCGTGTTGTTGTTATCAGACACATTTGGCACTAGTTATAGGATAATTCACTTTTAAAAACGTTTAGCTGTTACAATTGTTCATCACATCCCGCGCCATGACGGACTATCCTTATTTAAGTTCCTTTCTACTTTGTTTATCCGTTAGTTCTATGCTATTGAACATGGAAAGACCAACCACATGGTTCTTAATAAATGAAAAGTTATTAGGGTAATGATTCCGTTATCATTGGTGTAAAAATGAAATTAGAATTACAGGGACATGAGATGTTTTATTTTCTTATTTCTGGTATCTTGTTTCCGGTAAAAAGTCAATTGATTTGTGAGAATAAATATTATAGAGAGAAAACAAACAAAATAGAAAGTAATTCGGCAATTTTAATATAAAATGGCCATTTCTGTAGAAACGCATTGCCCTGATTGTGAAGTAGTGATAGCAGCTATTTTTAGTGAGAACATTCACTCCAACATATTTTATTGATTAATAACAATCAGAGAAATTTGTGGACAGTTTATTGTACAATGTTTTAACGAATAGAATATAACAAACTTTCTAAGGTCACATTTAGCATATATCACAATCAGTATATAAATAAAACATAGGAAATACCCCAAAAGCACATTCACATCTTAAATCAAATGTAGGAAATAGGAAACTATATTTGACATATTAAATGTTACACAAGGAATACCAAATATATGATATATTTAACTTACATTTAAGAGATACCAAAAACGGACACGCATTTTTCGATTAATGATATACTATCAATTATGATGGAGGTCAAATGATAGAAGCTTTTAAAGTGCTCGTGTCGACAAGTCCTCCTTAACTTCAATGATGTTTAAGTGACCGAAGGATTAGAAGTACCGACATCGACCTAGTGGTTTACATTTACCAGTCTCAATATGATATTTAATTTTAATTGTTTTTTTCAAAACGTCTTATAACCGATATTGGAGCCCTAATTATGAAATTCAATTTTTAAAGAGAGTTTCATTGCACTTAAAGATTTTTTTTTCATTTTTTTCATTTAATGCTTCCAGATATGTAGCTTGGACAAAATGTTGTTAGGACGCCTTTATTGGACAAGACGCCCAACTATCCCAGTAGTTCTAGTATATTCATAAAATAGTCTATTTTTGGGGGGGGAAAAGTACACAAATTATCAATTGGGACTGGACGTCCTCCATCTTCCAGTCCATCTATGGGCCTTTTATCATTACAATTAAAAGAACGTCTTACCCTGTCGTTTTATATGTATTATCATATTTTATTGTCACAGTGGCCTCAATATTTACTGTCTCTACCCTCATATGCACTTAATCCCTTCTGTCACAATAATAATAAATACGGTCACAGTATTTATATTTACTGTCACATTAGTCTTATATCTACTGTCACATTAGTTTTATAACTACTGTCACAATAATAGTATATACTGTCACAATTATGATATATACCGTCATATTATTTATATTTACTGTCACATTAGTCTTATATCTTCTGCCACAATAATTATATATACCGTCACATTATTTATATTTACTGTCAAATTGGTCTTATTATCGACTATCAACATATTCCTATTACGTTCAATAAAAGTAACTTAATAACTGATGTCACAATGGTCATAGTGGTCTTATATCTACCGGGACTGTGGTCTTATATCTACCGTTACAGTGGTCTGTCACCTACTACCATACTGTTTATATAGATATATTCCATCACCGTGGTATCTGATTGCATCAGTAGTGTTTATAAAGTAAGATGAAGGTCTAATCTGCCGTACATTCACACACAGTATTAGTCTGTGATTGCATTAGTAGTGTTTATAAAGTAAGATGAAAGTCTAATCCGCCTTACATTCACACACAGTATTGGTCTGTAATTACATCAGTGGTGTTTATAAAGTAAGATGATAGTCTAATCTGCCTTACATTCACACACAGTATTGGTCTGTGATTACATCAGTGGTGTTTATAAAGTAAGATGCTAGTCTTATCTGCCGTACATTCACACACAGTATTGGTCTGTGATTACATCAGTGGTGTTTATAAAGTAAGATGATAGTCTAATCTGCCTTACATTCACACACAGTATTGGTCTGTGATTACATCAGTGGTGTTTATAAAGTGAGATGATAGTCTAATCTGCCTTACATGCACACACAGTATTGGTCTGTGATTACATCAGTGGTGTTTATAAAGTGAGATGATAGTCTAATCTGCCTTACATTCACACACAGTATTGGTCTGTGATGACATCAGTGGTGTTTATAAAGTGAGATGATAGTCTAATCTGCCTTACATTCACACACAGTATTGGTCTGTGAGTACATCAGTGGTGTTTATAAAGTAAGATGCTAGTCTTATCTGCCTTACATTCACACACAGTATTGGTCTGTTATTACATCAGTGGTGTTTATAAATTAAGATGATAGTCTAATCTGCCGTAATTACATCAGTGGTGTTTATAAAGTAAGATGATAGTCTAATCTGCCGTATTTACATCAGTGGTGTTTATGAAGTAAGATGCTAATCTAATCTGCCGTAATTACATCAGTGGTATTTATAAAGTAAGATGCTAGTCTTATCTGCCTTACATTCACACACAGTATTGGTCTGTGATTACATTAGTAGTGTTTATAAAGTAAGATGATAGTCTAATCTGCCTTACATTCACACACAGTATTGGTCTGTGCAGTTTTCCGAAGCTCACCGAGAAAAGCACCTTTATTAATTTTGGTTACACTGTTTATGTTTGGTTCTTTCTTAAGTGCCTGATTCCAGTCCATCACCATCAGCCCGCACGTTAACTTCCCACTAACTTCTACAGTGGCGTACACGCATAGCGTCTCCATGACTATAGCTGTTGAGTTCAACATGACAGCCGCCTAAACCGCATCGGGAGAACAATAGTTACAGCCTTGTGTGCGTGAAAAGCAATTGGATTTTCTTCAATGGATTTCAAAAATTGATTTCGCTTGCCAGGGATTGCTCGTAGTTCGTCATAATTATGCTGTAATAAGAATGAATGTATTTATCACCCGATACAAGCGTTAAGTTTATGTTCCAATCAATCTTATAAATAGATATTGGTAATACATCATTGAATTACTTATCATGAATAAAAAGAATAAAAAACAAAAATAAACAAAAAACATTCATATGATCAAGTTATATAGTTTTCTGGTCGATCGTAGACTTGTGGTATTCACATGGATACTTACCGTGTGCAACTTCTAGTCGATATGGCATCGTTTCTTTCAAGGTAACCATGATTAATTTAAAGAAAGATTTTAAAGCAGAGAAATAAGCTACTGGTCTTATTATTTGAAATTACATTACGACATATTAAGGGTGCTGTTGTCTTGAATGATAGTTTCTTCTCGCGAATAATTTATCCCCTAGATCTTCATTAGCTATTTATCTGGACATTTACACACAGTATGATAATACGATTACACCACTAACGATATTGCAATCGTGATAATGTTGTTTCTCGGTTTTGTTTTAAATGTACGTTTATTTAAAAAGTAACCGCCCCTGTTTATTGATTATTTTTGTGAGAGTTTATTCATTCTTCCAGCTCTCTAATGCTGCTGTATTAGCCAGCTTGTTGGCTAAAACATTCTAACGCAAGGCATGGTATTGGAGAGACTTAACCTACATTTAAGAAGGCTGTCTTCTTAACGACCTTATTTCAACCATTAAATTGAAGTGTCTATCAACACCAGTACGATTTTCGTTATGTTCTAGATTATCGGTGGCTACCACATTTTCCAAAAGTTTTGATAAGATAGCATGAAAAGTACAACATTAGGTACAGGAAGGGAAGTCTTACCCTTACGAACACCCTGTTTTTTGTAGGAGTTCGTGCTGTAGCTTCTTCGATTTTATTTTGTCACAAACCAAGAATATTTACCTTATTTATGTATGCTTACATTATTTAACGACGCAAAGTACACCTTTACCTCTATACAAATCTTATCTGCAGTAAAAAACAGTTCATTTAATGTTTTATGAAGCCTGTTTTTGAAGACGGCATTATTCGGGAAATGTCCCATCTGCTCTATTGAGTCAATATATGTCTCTATTCTACTACAGCAGCCATTATCAAAGATATAGAAATGCAAATACAAACCCATGCTGTGACATTTTCTAAGGCCAACAAGTGTTGTGGGACATCGGAGATGCGCAAGCGCAACAAAAGCTGCTTCCGGGTTTGCATAAAAGTTGAATTCTGCACTCACAGTAGCGTTACCTCTTCCTGTAAATCACGAAAAGCCAAGTAACAAGTCACGAGCAAACACTATCTGTAATACACATTTCAATACTGAGAACACCTGTAATATTGTCAATGGTGTGTCGACTCACCGTAATAGTTGCCTCCCATTATATAACAGTCCCTCAGACGACACCCGAAGTATTGGTCTATCTTAAGGGCTGTGGCGAGATTCGTTAATGGTCCTATACACATCAGGGTTATCTCTCCTTCAACAGAGACAGCATATAATGATTATGCATCGGAGACCTAGTCCGACTCAGAGATTTGTTGAAAAAGAGGTTTGTTGGATTCAAAGGCAAATATAATTTCCTTATGCTACGTTCCCCACTATCATGGCCACAATTAGTGTACAAAATACAAAATATAAACTATGGTTTTCTATTTTATTCCAATTTCCATTTTTCCTCTTATTGTTTGTATTACTATATATGTTCTGCACGATAAGTGTACAAAGTGCAGTTACTACATTCCTTTGATGACCAAATAGAGCAGAGTCAAATAATGTAAAATATTGTGGAAATGATAAAGTATAGCAAGGTGTCGAGTAATACTAGGGTGTGCCTTGGATAGCAAGGTGTCAAGTAATACTAGAGTGTGCCGTGGATAGCAAAGTGTCGAGTAATAATAGGGTGTGCCTTGGATAGCAAGGTGTCGAGTAATACTAGGGTGTGCCTTGGATAGCAAGGTGTCGAGTAATACTAGAGTGTGCCGTGGATAACAAGGTGTCGAGTAATACCAGGGTGTGCCGTGGATAACAAGGTGTCGAGTAATACCAGGGTGTGCCCTGGATAACAAGGTGTCGAGTAATACTAGGGTGTGCCTTGGATAGCAAGGTGTCGAGTTATACTAGGGTGTGCCGTGGATAGCAAGGTGTCGAGTAATACTATGGTGTGCCTTGGATAGCAAGGTGTCGAATAATACTAGGGTGTGCCTTGGATAGCAAGGTGTCGAGTAATACCAGGGTGTGCCTTGGGTAGCCGTATCATTGCATCTATCGCTGTTTCCTCTTCTAGAAGGCCAACATCCGGTTCTTCAATATAAGGGCAATTGCCAAATCCATCCTCTCCGTGGTAACTTCTACACATTGTATTTTACGAAACCTCGCCAAGGACAGAGCAATCACATCCCCGAAAAACGGGAATCTGAAAGGAAATAAAGAAGATGCCAAAACAACAAACCCCTTTTCTGTTCAATACAGTGACCGTTTCGTGTGCTATTTTGATTGCAAATGTTGGCATTCAAAAACAGATCCATTCAAATGTTATCTGATATTGTTTATGCATTAGCGTATAGGCCATGGAAGGTAGGATTAATGTATTTACCTATGAATTCAAACATAACGGCAAATAGACCACCTTCGGTATACAACATAGGATCTATTAGGAAACAGCCATCTGACATACAACAAAATGATGTCAGTATCTTTATATGAAGATATATCCAATACCGCTGACATTCTGAAATCTAAACAAGTGGTGTTCCTGAAGTGATGTAGTCATGATTACTTTTTAATACTCGTGAAATATATATGGTATTCAACAGATAACCATTTACGAAATATTTGGCGTTAGATAATTATTCAAATATCCTTTTAGAATTATTTGAATTGTTTGCTAACATTTCTCAATAAACCTCGGATAACAGAAACATGCAATTCAAAGAAGACCAATGAACAAATTCGGTTGATTATCGTTCAGTAAACAGTTTAAAGGTCAACTTTTAAAATTTGCCATCTGTATTGCTTTTGTTAACAGAAGTATGAATGAGGAATAACAGCATTCAATGTTGATAAAAAATTCATCTAACAAGTAAAACAACAAAGCTCTGTTTTCTACAATTCAAAGCAACGCGGACATATAATGTATACAAAAACGGAATAGATTTCGTATCGTCAGGCATTTCACTTACATTTAATTGATCAGCAGCTGTGAGTATTTTCAGTACGTTGCGTACGACTTGGTCCACGGCACTGTTGACTCTAACGCACGTGATCCCAATGACGTCATACACGATGGAGTCCAACATCATGAAGATAGCCTGTGCATCGTCTACACCGCCGTCTGTATCTATTATAATCTTCCTCCTCTCCTGTTCATCGTTAACACCGCCGTCTGTATCTATTATAATATTCCTCCTCTCCTGTGCAGCCATTTAATTTTATTTGGGCGTCTATCAATGGACGATGTGATCACACAATATCTAGTATATCAAATATAGGATAGTCAGGGTTTTTGACCGGGGAGGTAGCACGTATGTGTGTGACGAATAGTAATAACATTCATAAGCACATGTAGGAATGAGTGTCGGTGAACGTCCCGAATAGTAATAACATTCATAAGCACATGTAGGAATGAGTGTCGGTGAACGTCCTCGTATAAACCATTCTTTCTTTGATAAACTTAACATTATTGTGATCCTTAGTTTCCAGGTATATTTTTATAAGTAGTTGATAGTTTGGTCTGTCGATAATTTCCTCAGGACAGCTCGAACTTTTTTGTATGCGTCCAATACAACGTTTCATTATTACAGTCAAGTCAGTTCTCACAAAATTTTCCTTAAAAACAGTTGACAAAGATATTTCAGTCGCTGTTAGGTCCGACTTCATGTAAAGCGCTGTTTCTCTATTTTCTTCACGCTGGTTACCTAAATAAAAGTCACATGCTTCTCTTGCTAACTCTTTTCTACTACAAAAAAATAAAGCTTGAAAACCTTAGTTTTCAACCTGTTATTCATTCTGAGGTAATAGGAACGTCGAAAAAATCCGTTGGTCCACACGGCCGTTAGCCTCTTGTTTTCTTCTAGTGTCGTCTTGTCTCGATTTCTTCGGAAATCCGCTGTTGGTGCGTAGTGCATAATGCCATTTCCTTGCCCGGAATCTTTGCCGATTTGTTTTACAGCATAAATGATACGTTAAAAGTTAACTGGCCTGTTTGAGTCATTGGCTCGCCAAATTATAAGGTAATTAAACAGAATATTTCCTACAGATATCTTATAAAATACTTTGCATGAAGATATGATGCTTTGTTCCAAACCGAGCGATAAGCAGAATGAAAACGGTACATCAAATGTTCAAACATCCAGGTGCTTAATTATGTTAATTCCACTGACCACTGAATTAGATTTAACATTTAGAAACATTCGCGTGATTGAATACATTGACATTTATATACATTGTATACAATGGTAATTGGAAATGCATACCTACTTGACCGGTTGTACATAATTCGTGCAGATGCATACATTACCTTGTGATTTAGAACGTCAACATACTTACGTACCTATTGATATCTCACTTTGACCTGACGAAACAATTATTGACATGTTGTACATCATCCATTACGGTCCCTTTCAGTCGGTACGATTACTCGGAACACTTATAGTTCGGACATTTTGGCGTGAGTTTGGTACCAACATGTTTCCGTTTTTTCTTCGCTCCCTGTATAAGATGTCTATCAAATTAAATATGTCTCGAAATAAATTAGCAAATGTGTGAACGACGAAAAATCATTTGTTAATCGGTGTTCTATCATAAGGGAATTCCAAAGAGCTATTTTTACTATGCGTAATATAAACAAACTAGAATTATGTCAGTGTGACATTAAAGCCGCTCACCACTTTAAATTTAATTGCTTCAGTAACACGTTGAGCACCAATATCTACTATAATACCTCAGATATGTCTTCTGTATTCTGCTAATTGAAAATCATGTCATGTGATGATGTTGCCTTTGGAATTTCCAAAATCAATCACCTCTTAAATGATGCCTTAAAATCATTTCACCCTCTTTTGTGATGCATTGTTTTAATTTTCATTAATTAGCATCCTCCAATGATGTGACATAAGTTTTTACGTGCAGAATGGCAACCGGTGATTGGGTGCATTTTGTGCTTGTGAAAGGAAGGATAATTAACAGTAGTGGGAAAACATCGATGGAGAAAAGAGACATAGTATTCCTTTTAATTTTATTTATTTTTTATTCATATTAATAATCATCTAAAAATCTCACAAATGTTCTTGGAATATATTTGAATTATATTTCCTTACCAACGTAAGAGTTATTTCCCTTACACCGGATTGAGAATATTTTGACACAGCGCGAATTCTTTTCAAACAGCAGCGGTAGTTGTGTCATGTTCTTAAATTGTTAGAATTTCATAAATAAATACACCAGAAATAGCATGCTGTGTTACAGAAATGTTTGATTAGCATACATAGTTCACATATCGTCTCGTCTCAGAGCCCCGTCCGTGGTAGCAATGATGGTTTATTACCGTTATCAACATAAGCACGATATGTCATATTACGTTCCCGTTTGAAACATCAAAATAGAGGTTATACTTCATCACTCATATGGTTTATAAGTATAAATATTTACTTCTTCCTTGTACTTACAAAAAATAAAAAGCTAGACCGTACAAACAGCGTCAATGCTTGACAGTCTTCATATTTGCTTTCTCGAATCAGTCACTCCTCAGACCTCAATCAGAGTTGCTAAAACGCTCAAACACGATGCACGAATTTCACAACCATAACACTCGTAGAATGCACCGAAGATAAACATTTTGTTTTCAGCAATTATTTAAAGTATGGATTATTATTTGGAGAAGAGTATCAGAAGACTTTATGTAACCCACAGGTGAGTGTCAGAGATTCTACTTTCTATTTACGATAATGAAACTATATAGCGGAAGCATGCAAGACTGAATTATGAGCACGCACCCCGAACGGAAGTGGGTCCGTCATTTCGTTCTCTGGATAGAATCAATAAGCCGCTCGGCTCTCCTCAAGAGCGGCTTAAAAAGGGTAAATATAATAAAAATAGGGTTATTTAACGTTGGCTAAGGTAACAAACGGCAAAGTCAGACAAGTGTAACTCACGTCAAATATAACGTAGAAGACCTGTGTTGTTTCACAATTTAAGTTTATGGAAAGACCTTCAAAATACAAAAAACAAAATATCCGTCTTTCGGAAAATCATATATGAATTAAAAGTGTTTCCATGCTTATCAAACAAACTTAGGTCTTTTTGTAACATTGTTTTTCAGTTTTACATGTCGATGATTGCCGATACCACTTCACATCGTCGAGTCTAGTTCGGACAACAGGCCGGAAATGCATATTTGTTTCGTTTCGAATTTTAATTTTCTGCACTGTTTTTAATGATCGACTTAGTAAATTTATCCAAAGATAAAAGTTAATTTAATTCACCATGTTCTCGCAGTCTTCGACAACACTAGTATCTTGAACTATCTAATTAACAGTGGGTTCACTGATACTTTTGATCCATGACAAAAAAGTCACGTATCTCTATATACTGGTACAATTATCCAGGGTAAGGTGAGTGTTTATCCTACATGTTTAGGTAGATGTCCAACGAGCAGAGATAAATGAAGAAAAGTAAGATTATAATAATGTATGAAAATAATGATCAACGAAGAAAAACAACGTGTCAAAACAATTGCTTTCAAAGCCATATTTAACCTTTCATTTACTCAGTTATTCAGTAAGATCACATCGATATTGTTTACTAGAAATTGCTTGCTGGCAATCTTTAAGTCCCAATAGCATTTACATTGTATGTAATGACTATAACTTAGACCAAAAGAAAACCTTACTGCAGTTATTCTAGAAATATGTGTAGCAGTCCTATTTTATTGTATTTTGTAGTATTTTATATTAATTAATCATTGTGTGTTATATTCTATGTTGTGCCCAGCATGTTCTTTGTTTGTTTTGATATTATGACGTACCTGTCCTGTGGTGTGATCTTTATCTGTGATGTTTACCTGGTGTGGATCTTTAGGTTCAGTGTGTTTATTGTTTATATTCTATTTTCATTGGTCAGATGTTTTGTATAGATTTCTATTTTTATTGGTCACTTTTGGCGGGATTTCTTTGTGCCAGTTTTGCCGAAGATTTTATGAAACACAGCAGACACATTGCATTGGACAGACACACTTCTTTTGACCGTAAGTCTTCTCTATTTTCTTATATTAATAATGTCTTCACATTGAAAGTTATTTGGGCTAGGGTTCTGGCAAATTAAAACATATTGGTAATTTGATTCCATTTAACTATTATTCAGAAAAGTTCTAAATAATAGTTAAATGGAATTATTATGTGAAGTAAAACGTGTTCGGAGAGTTGACCAAGTGATTTATGGTTTTTATATTTCGTGTATGTTTGAATCCTCATGAATATTACTATACTAGATAGAACAGAAATGTGTACCATGTATATATATCTATGTATTCACATTCATCATTTTTAAGAGAAACAAAAGTGATTTGATGACATAGGTTTCATCTTGGCTCTGTGCTATACACAGGTGCCTGATATATGTACATTTTAACTAATTTATATTCCCATGCTAGCTATATTCTAACTTTAGTTGTCAAAGATAGTTTTAATATTTCCTTTATTTTATTTCTTTTGCATTAAATGGTTCAGTGGATTACCATGAAACCTGTTAAGGTATATAATTGAGAAATGATAATTTCCATGTACATTGTATTCTGTATAATTGTAACAGTATGAAATAGTAGTAAAAAGTTTGTAAGAGTTATGTCCATTTATTATACGGTATGTAGTCTTATATACGATTGTTGAACCATGTTTGTCAGTGCTGTGGAATAAATATGAATAGAAAAGAACTCTTGTTTTTTTGTGAAACCACCCTGCTACATATGTCTAATACCACATAGAATGTTTAGAAAAATTAAATGTCGCTCTTCGCAGTATTCAGAAGAGCAGTAAAAAATGTGTCTTTATCGATTTTGGTGACGATGGTTAAATTTGGCTCTTTCTTGAGTACTTTGTTCCAGTCGACCACCATTTGTCCGTAGGTGAGTTTTCCACCTAGCTCTACAGTTGCGTACACGTGTTTGGTCTCCATGACAACTTCTGATGGACTCAACATACAAGCCGCCAAAAACTCATCAGCCGGTGAGTAGTTCCAACCTTGTTTGATGGAAAACGCGACAGGTTTCTGTTCTATTGCCTTCAAGAATTGGTTGCGTTTGCCCGAGAAACTCCGTAATTGGTGGTACTGATCCTGAAATAAAAAGGCGTTACACTTGACTATATATTATGGGCTGAGAATAATAATGATACTTTGCAGTTCAGAAATGTAATACCTATTATGCGTTATAAAAGCATGCATGTCCAAAGGTCCCATCCTATCATTTGTCACCAAAATCCATAAAAGAATAAAATCACATGTTATCTTTGCAGTTTGACAAATGTACTATAACTATAGTATATTTAGATATTTTCCACGTATCATTAGTTATGTACATTATTCACACATAGTATTAGATTTACACATAGCATATGTACAGTATTCAACATAAAAGATGGATAGCTTACCCAAGTAGGTCCGTTTTCCTCACAAACTTCCCAGCCAACCAGTGTCGTCGGACATCGAAGCTGCTCTAGTGCTATATAAGCAGCTTCCGGGTCGGCGTGGAAGTTGAACTCTGCGCTCACTGTTATGTTACCTTTACCTGTCAATCAAAGACTCTTATTCTTACGTCAAACTTAAATATAGAAATCAGAAGATATTGGGGTCGGAAATATCATAATGTTGAGTTTTAATTACTCCCAGTTTTCATAATGTTCAGCTTTCTTTACTTATTACATAAATCGATAGAAAGTAATTAAGACACATACTGTGTTGGAAGTACTTCTACACAGGTGGGCCATGTCCGAGCTACCTTTGTACTACAGTTCTCCTGGCCACACAGGTGGGCCATGTTCGAACTACCTTTGTACTACAGTTCTCCTGGCTAGACAGGTGGGCCATGTTCGAGCTACCTTTGAACTGCAGTTCTCCTGGCTACACAGGTGGGACATGTTCTAGCTACCTTTGTACTACAGTTCTCCTGGCCGCACAGGTGGGTCATGTTCGAACTACCTTTGTACTACAGTTCTCCTGGCTACATAGGTGGGCCATGTTCGAGCTACCTTTGTACTACTATTCTCCTGGCTACACAGGTGGGCCATGTTGGAGCTACCTTTGTACTACAGTTCTCCTGGCTAAACAGGTGGGCCATGTTCGAGCTACCTTTATACTACAGTTCACCTAGCTGCACAGGTGGGCCATGTTCGAGCTACCTTTGTACTACAGTTCCCCTGGCTACACAGGAGGGACATGTTCGAGCTACCTTTGTACTACAGTTCTCCAGGCTACACAGGAGGGACATGTTCGAGCTACCTTTGTACTACAGTTCTCCAGGCTACACAGGAGGGACATGTTCGAGCTCCCTTTGTACTACAGTTCCCCTAGCTACACAGGAGGGACATGTTCGAGCTACCTTTGTACTACAGTTCCCCTGGCTACACAGGAGGGACATGTTCGAGCTACCTTTGTACTACAGTTCCCCTGGCTACACAGGAGGGACATGTTCGAGCTACCTTTGTACTACAGTTCCCCTGGCTACACAGGAGGGACATGTTCGAGCTACCTTTGTACTACAGTTCCCCTAGCTACACAGGAGGGACATGTTCGAGCTACCTTTGTACTACAGTTCCCCTAGCTACACAGGAGGGACATGTTCGAGCTACCTTTGTACTACAGTTCTCCTGGCTTCACAGGAGGGACATGTTCGAGCTACCTTTGTACTACAGTTCCCCTGGCTACACAGGAGGGACATGTTCGAGCTACCTTTGTACTACAGTTCCCCTAGCTACACAGGAGGGACATGTTCGAGCTACCTTTGTACTACAGTTCCCCTGGCTACACAGGAGGGACATGTTCGAGCTACCTTTGTACTACAGTTCCCCTAGCTACACAGGAGGGACATGTTCGAGCTACCTTTGTACTACAGTTCTCCAGGCTACACAGGAGGGACATGTTCGAGCTACCTTTGTACTACAGTTCCCCTAGCTACACAGGAGGGACATGTTCGAGCTACCTTTGTACTACAGTTCCCCTAGCTACACAGGAGGGACATGTTCGAGCTACCTTTGTACTACAGTTCCCCTGGCTACACAGGAGGGACATGTTCGAGCTACCTTTGTACTACAGTTCCCCTGGCTACACAGGAGGGACATGTTCGAGCTACCTTTGTACTACAGTTCTCCAGGCTACACAGGAGGGACATGTTCGAGCTCCCTTTGTACTACAGTTCCCCTAGCTACACAGGAGGGACATGTTCGAGCTACCTTTGTACTACAGTTCCCCTAGCTACACAGGAGGGACATGTTCGAGCTACCTTTGTACTACAGTTCCCCTGGCTACACAGGAGGGACATGTTCGAGCTACCTTTGTACTACAGTTCCCCTAGCTACACAGGAGGGACATGTTCGAGCTACCTTTGTACTACAGTTCTCCTTGCTACACAGGAGGGGCATGTTCGAGCTACCTTTGTTCGACAGTTCTCCTGGCTACACAGGTGGGCCATGTTGGAGCTACCTTTGTACTACAGTTCTCCTGGCTAGACAGGTGGGACATGTTCGAGCTACCTTTGTACGACAGTTCTACTGGCTACACAGGTGGGACATGTTCGAGCCACCATTGTACTACAGTTCTCCTAGCTACACAGGTGGGGCATGTTCGAGCTACCTTTGTACTACAGGTTCTCCTGGCTACACAGGTGGGACATGCTCGAGCTACCTTTGTACTACAGTTCTCCTAGCTACACAGGTGGGGCATGTTCGAGCTACCTTTGTACGACAGTTCTCCTGGCTACACAGGTGGGACATGTTCGAGCTACCATTGTACTACAGTTCTCCTAGCTACACAGGTGGGCCATGTTCGAGCTACCTTTGTACGACAGTTCGCCTGGCTACCCAGGTGGGACATGTTCGAGCTACCTTTGTACGACAGTTTTCCTGGCTACACAGGAGGGACATGTTCGAGCTACCTTTCTACTACAGTTCTCCTGGCTACACAGGTGGGCCATGTTCGAGCTCCCTTTGTACTACCGTTCTCCTGGCTACACAGGAGGGCCATGTTCGAGCTACCTTTGTTCTACAGTTCTCCTGGCTACACAGGTGGGGCATGTTCGAGCTACCTTTGTACTACAGGTCTCCTGGCTACACAGGTGGGACATGTTCGAGCCACCATTGTACTACAGTTCTCCTAGCTACACAGGTGGGCCATGGTCGAGCTACCTTTGTACCACAGTTCTCCTGACTACACAGGAGGGGCATGTTCGAGCTACCTTTGTACTACAGTTTTCCTGGCTACACAGGTGGGACATGTTCGGGCTACCTTTGTACGACAGTTCTCCTGGCTACACACACAGGTGGGACATGTTCGAGCTACCTATGTACTACAGTTCTCCTGGCTACACAGGTGGGGCATGTTCGAGCTACCTTTGTACTACAGGTTCTCCTGGCTACACAGGTGGGCCATGTTCGAGCTACCTTTGTACCACAGTTCTCCTGACTACACAGGAGGGGCATGTTCGAGCTACCTTTGTACGACAGTTCGCCTGGCTACCCAGGTGGGACATGTTCGAGCTACCTTTGTACAACAGTTCTCCTGACTACACAGGAGGGGCATGTTCGAGCTACCTTTGTACTACAGTTTTCCTGGCTACACAGGTGGGCCATGTTCGAGCTCCCTTTGTACGACAGTTCTCCTGGCTACCCAGGCGGGAAATGTTCGAGCTACCTTTGTACTATAGTTCTCCTGGCTACACAGGTGGGCCATGTTCGAGCTCCCTTTGTACGACAGTTCTCCTGGCTACCCAGGCGGGAAATGTTCGAGCTACCTTTGTACTATAGTTCTCCTGGCTACACAGGTGGGCCATGTTCGAGCTACATGTGTACGACAGTTCTCCTGGCTACACAGGGGGGGCATGTTCGAGCTACCTTTGTACTACAGTTCTCCTACGACAGTTCTCCTGGCTACACAGGTGGGCCATGTTCGAGCTACCATTGTACTACAGTTCTCCTGGCTACACAGGTGGGGCATGTTCGAGCTACCTTTGTACTACAGGTCTCCTGGCTACACAGGTGGGACATGTTCGATCTACCTTTGTACTACAGTTCTCCTAGCTACACAGGTGGGGCATGTTCGAGCTACCTTTGTACTACAGGTCTCCTGGCTACACAGGTGGGACATGTTCGATCTACCTTTGTACTACAGTCCTCCTGGCTACACAGGTGGGACATGTTCGAGCTACCATTGTACTACAGTTCTCCTGGCTACACAGGGGGGCCATGTTCGAGCTACCTTTGTACGACAGTTCTCCTGGCTACACAGGTGGGACATGTTCGAGCTACCTTTGTACAACAGTTCTCCTGACTACACAGGTGGGACATGTTCGAGCTACCTTTGTACTACAGTTCTCCTGGCTACACAGGTGGGCCATGTTCGAGCTACCTTTGTACTACAGTTCTCCTGGCTACACAGGTGGGCCATGTTCGAGCTACCTTTGTACTACAGTTCTCCTGGCTACACAGGTGGGCCATGTTCGAGCTACCTTTGTACTACAGTTCTCCTGGCTACACAGGTGGGCCATGTTCGAGCTACCTTTGTACTACAGTTCTCCTGGCTACACAGGTGGGCCATGTTCGAGCTACCTTTGTACTACAGTTCTCCTGGCTACACAGGTGGGCCATGTTCGAGCTACCTTTGTACTACAGTTCTCCTGGCTACACAGGTGGGCCATGTTCGAGCTACCTTTGTACTACAGTTCTCCTGGCTACACAGGTGGGCCATGTTCGAGCTACCTTTGTACTACAGTTCTCCTGGCTACACAGGTGGGCCATGTTCGAGCTACCTTTGTACTACAGTTCTCCTGGCTACACAGGTGGGCCATGTTCGAGCTACCTTTGTACTACAGTTCTCCTGGCTACACAGGTGGGCCATGTTCGAGCTACCTTTGTACTACAGTTCTCCTGGCTACACAGGTGGGCCATGTTCGAGCTACCTTTGTACTACAGTTCTCCTGGCTACACAGGTGGGCCATGTTCGAGCTACCTTTGTACTACAGTTCTCCTGGCTACACAGGTGGGCCATGTTCGAGCTACCTTTGTACTACAGTTCTCCTGGCTACACAGGTGGGCCATGTTCGAGCTACCTTTGTACTACAGTTCTCCTGGCTACACAGGTGGGCCATGTTCGAGCTACCTTTGTACTACAGTTCTCCTGGCTACACAGGTGGGCCATGTTCGAGCTACCTTTGTACTACAGTTCTCCTGGCTACACAGGTGGGCCATGTTCGAGCTACCTTTGTACTACAGTTCTCCTGGCTACACAGGTGGGCCATGTTCGAGCTACCTTTGTACTACAGTTCTCCTGGCTACACAGGTGGGCCATGTTCGAGCTACCTTTGTACTACAGTTCTCCTGGCTACACAGGTGGGCCATGTTCGAGCTACCTTTGTACTACAGTTCTCCTGGCTACACAGGTGGGCCATGTTCGAGCTACCTTTGTACTACAGTTCTCCTGGCTACACAGGTGGGCCATGTTCGAGCTACCTTTGTACTACAGTTCTCCTGGCTACACAGGTGGGCCATGTTCGAGCTACCTTTGTACTACAGTTCTCCTGGCTACACAGGTGGGCCATGTTCGAGCTACCTTTGTACTACAGTTCTCCTGGCTACACAGGTGGGCCATGTTCGAGCTACCTTTGTACTACAGTTCTCCTGGCTACACAGGTGGGCCATGTTCGAGCTACCTTTGTACTACAGTTCTCCTGGCTACACAGGTGGGCCATGTTCGAGCTACCTTTGTACTACAGTTCTCCTGGCTACACAGGTGGGCCATGTTCGAGCTACCTTTGTACGACAGTTCTCCTGGCTACACAGGTGGGCCATGTTCGAGCTACCTTTGTACTACAGTTCTCCTGGCTACACAGGTGGGTCATGTTCGAGCTACCTTTGTACTACAGTTCTCCTGGCTACACAGGTGGGACATGTTCGAGCTACCTTTGTACGACAGTTCTCCTGGCTACACAGGAGGGACATGTTCGAGCTACCTTTGTACTACAGTTTTCCTGGCTACACAGGTGGGCCATGTTCGAGCTACCGTTGTACTACATATCTCCTGGCTACATTATGTTTACTACGTGCTAGAGGAAAGCCGGAGTTCCCGGAGAAAAGACACAGACCTACGGCCAGTACCTGGTGACTGCCTACCGTAGGTCTCGAACCCGCGATCAAGTGGTGGACGGCTAGTGGTAGCAGAATATCAGACGCCTTTACCACTTGGTCACCGCAGCCCCTACATAATGCACGTGTTCGCTTTCATCATATTCACTTTGGACTAAGACAAACAACAACAAGACCTGTAGTTTAGATTACCATAGTAGTTGCCTCCCATTATATAGCAGTCTCTTAGACGACAACTGAAGTCTGGGTCCACCTTCAGGGCTGTGGCAAGGTTGGTCAGTGGGCCTATACACATCAGGGTTATCTCCCCTGGAACAAGAGAGTTTCGTCTGAATATAAAAGAATTATGGATTTTTTTTAGTAACAAAGAAGCCATGAAAGTTCCAGGAATATCGCTGGTTAATTTAAATTCAATGAGAAGTGCCAAAATAATCAAACAAACCCCTGATATGGATCAGCCAGTTAATCGTTTAAGCAAGTATTCAAATGAAGGAGAATCACAGGCTATATAAACATTAAACAACATTCTAAAAGGTAACTAGTCCTCAATTATCGTACTAAAATTACCAGGGTGTTCCTTCGTTAACCGGATAATTACGTCCGTCGCTGCTTCTCTCTGTAGAATACTGACATCCGGTTCCTCTGCTGATTGACAATCGCCGAGGCCGTCGACACCTTGATAGGAGTTTTGTATCACGTGTTGACCAAGAATGGAAAACGCACATCCGGCATAAACTGGAATCTGATTAAAATAGTTACAAAATCAGGGACTGTTGTTTTGCTCTTATGATTACAATTACAATTTCGCAGACAAATGTGGTTGAACATACCAGTTCACAGACAAATATGGTTGTACATACCAATTCACAGACAAATATGGTTGTACATACCAGTTCACAGACAAATATGGTTGTACATACCAATTCACAGACAAATATGGTTGTACATACCAGTTCACAGACAAATATGGTTGTACATACCAGTTCACAGACACTGATGGTTGTACATACCAGTTCACAGACACTGATGGTTGTACATACCAGTTCACAGACACTGATGGTTGTACATACCAGTTCACAGACACTGATGGTTGTACATACCAGTTCACAGACACTGATGGTTGTACATACCAGTTCACAGACACTGATGGTTGTACATACCAGTTCACAGACACTGATGGTTGTACATACCAGTTCACAGACACTGATGGTTGTACATACCAGTTCACAGACACTGATGGTTGTACATACCAGTTCACAGACACTGATGGTTGTACATACCAGTTCACAGACACTGATGGTTGTACATACCAGTTCACAGACACTGATGGTTGTACATACCAGTTCACAGACACTGATGGTTGTACATACCAGTTCACAGACACTGATGGTTGTACATACCAGTTCACAGACACTGATGGTTGTACATACCAGTTCACAGACACTGATGGTTGTACATACCAGTTCACAGACACTGATGGTTGTACATACCAGTTCACAGACACTGATGGTTGTACATACCAGTTCACAGACACTGATGGTTGTACATACCAGTTCACAGACACTGATGGTTGTACATACCAGTTCACAGACACTGATGGTTGTACATACCAGTTCACAGACACTGATGGTTGTACATACCAGTTCACAGACACTGATGGTTGTACATACCAGTTCACAGACACTGATGGTTGTACATACCAGTTCACAGACACTGATGGTTGTACATACCAGTTCACAGACACTGATGGTTGTACATACCAGTTCACAGACACTGATGGTTGTACATACCAGTTCACAGACACTGATGGTTGTACATACCAGTTCACAGACACTGATGGTTGTACATACCAGTTCACAGACACTGATGGTTGTACATACCAGTTCACAGACACTGATGGTTGTACATACCAGTTCACAGACACTGATGGTTGTACATACCAGTTCACAGACACTGATGGTTGTACATACCAGTTCACAGACACTGATGGTTGTACATACCAGTTCACAGACACTGATGGTTGTACATACCAGTTCACAGACACTGATGGTTGTACATACCAGTTCACAGACACTGATGGTTGTACATACCAGTTCACAGACACTGATGGTTGTACATACCAGTTCACAGACACTGATGGTTGTACATACCAGTTCACAGACACTGATGGTTGTACATACCAGTTCACAGACACTGATGGTTGTACATACCAGTTCACAGACACTGATGGTTGTACATACCAGTTCACAGACACTGATGGCTGTACATACCAGTTCACAGACACTGATGGTTGTACATACCCGTTCACAGACACTGATGGTTGTACATACCAGTTCACAGACACTGATGGTTGTACATACCAGTTCACAGACACTGATGGTTGTACATACCAGTTCACAGACACTGATGGTTGTACATACCAGTTCACAGACACTGATGGTTGTACATACCAGTTCACAGACACTGATGGTTGTACATACCAGTTCACAGACACTGATGGTTGTACATACCAGTTCACAGACACTGATGGTTGTACATACCAGTTCACAGACACTGATGGTTGTACATACCAGTTCACAGACACTGATGGTTGTACATACCAGTTCACAGACACTGATGGTTGTACATACCAGTTCACAGACACTGATGGTTGTACATACCAGTTCACAGACACTGATGGTTGTACATACCAGTTCACAGACACTGATGGTTGTACATACCAGTTCACAGACACTGATGGTTGTACATACCAGTTCACAGACACTGATGGTTGTACATACCAGTTCACAGACACTGATGGTTGTACATACCAGTTCACAGACACTGATGGTTGTACATACCAGTTCACAGACACTGATGGTTGTACATACCAGTTCACAGACAATGATGGTTGTACATACACGTTCACAGACACTGATGGCTGTACATACACGTTCACAGACTCTGATTGTTGTACATACACGTTCACAGATCCGGATTGTTGTACATACACGTTCAGAGACTCAGATGGTTGTACATACCAGTTCACAGACACTGATGGCTTTACAATTTAGTTTACACACTCGTAGCTTTATATACACAATATGCCAGTTCATAGGCACCTTTTAAAAACGGTAATTGTTATTTTGTTTTAATCAGGTAAAAACGCAACCTTATCACACATATCTACAATTCTATTTTATCATTCATAACAATTTCGTAAAATATCACAAATTATTAGAAGCAAATTCATACATCATACCAATACACTGGCAACCTTTTCTCAATGTATATATGACATTTAAAACAACCCATTCCTGCCATGTAATTGTCTTGAAAATACATAATTTGTACCTGTGATACACCTCATTTTAAGCTTTAATATTGAGCGTTCGTCCAGGTGAGGAAGGCAATAGGTTCTGTCCCGGCCTGAAAAAATGATAGTTGGTATTCCCTGCTGAACGTTCAGCATTTAGGGAAATGGCATCCTCGATATCCAGGGGTTACGCTCAATTTCGCTCTCCACACCCCTGAATATCATAGCAAAAATGAAGGCACGCGGCTAGCTATTTGATTGGTGTCAGGTAAAAAAGAACTGACCAATCATGAGGCTGATACTTGTCCTTAGAAGATTACAAAGGAGCGACGCCCGACTTCAAAGCCTGTCATGTTTTACCGTTACGCGACCGCGAGATTCTTTTGATGTACATCAAAGGACCAAAGTAGTCTTCTCGTCTCTTTCACAAGGTGCTGCACACTTAATATTTACTTTGACATATTCCAGGGGTGTAGAGAGCAAAAGTGAGCGTAAATCTTGGATATCGAGGATGGGGAAATGGCAACAACTGGTTGTTAAACCAAACAAACCAAACAGTATCGAACATTATAACATAGTGTCAGACTGCAGGAGCATACACGGGCAAGTTTGCATGTGAACATGCAATATAAAACATTGTGTTTTCATGGATNAGCACGCCAACATACCGTCTCCTACACACACACGCGCAAGCACGCATACACTACATACATGGAGGCACGTCCTTAAACGACCATAGCTGTTAATAGGACGTTTAACAAAATTAAACCAAACAAACCAAACAGTATCGAACATTATAACATAGTGTCAGACTGCAGGAGCATACACGGGCAAGTTTGCATGTGAACATGCAATATAAAACATTGTGTTTTCATGGATACAATATGCATACATGTTTTATATATAGCTTTACATACACTTAATTTGTCCGCAGCTGTGAGTATTTTCAGAACGTTCCGTACGACTTGGTTCACGCCGCTGTTACCTCTGACGCACGTGAAGCCAATGACGTCATACACGGTGGAGTCCAACATCATGAAGATAGCCTGTGCATCGTCTACACCGCCGTCTGTATCTATTATCAGCTTCTTCCTCTGTGTAGCCATTTAGTTTTATTGGGGTGTCTGTCAACAGAGAAATGTTTATAAAATGAGTATATCATACGTAACTGTTCCGACCATGCAGGTAACACGAGTTTGTACGACAAAGCATACATTCACAACAATATGTACGAACAAACGGAGGTGATTGTCCACACACGAACGTGTATTTTGTGTGATATAAGTGTTACACAACGTACTGTAACGTACCAAAATTCTTCTTTACGCATATATTATGTTTCTGCAAAACCATATTTATTTTTTATTGTTTTATGCCGTGTAAAAAATAAATAAAATTTGAGATGTATGTTACCATACTCTCTAGATTTATTTTAGTTAAGGCATTTTATTCATGTAGCAATTTCTTGATAATTTCCTCATTGACAAAATGTTTTTCGACATTGTTGACTGGGAGGTGTGGTCATCTCTTCGTCTGGTTCTGAGTTTTGGAATTATTGTTTGGGCTGGGTGTCACATCCGTCGTTTGTTCCAGTTGTTTTCCTTTGAGCTTTTCTCATCAAGTACTTAACGTTGTTTCTTGCCTTACTCTACATACTTATTGTGATCCTTAGTTTCCGTGAGTCTCTCCAACCATCTGTTCTTTCCCTAACTGGTTCTTCTTCTCTTTCTTCATCTAATGGCTGCTCATGTTTCTTCTTTCTGTCGTTTATTTTTGGGATATGTTTGTCTATCGCGGTTACTAATTTACTGACCAATGTGCTGTAGTGTCTCCATGTCCTCGTTAGTCAGGATACGGACCACTAGGCTGCGTTTCTGATTTATTAATATCCTCGTTGACTACTAACTCGTGTTGAATAAGGTTCGCTTCGAATTCCTTAACGATTTTAATGAATGATTTTATATTCTGTTGTGCAGTTCACCCAGTGAATGTTCCTTCAGTTAAAGTCCCTTATAATAAGGACATGTGGATATCTAGCGTTCCCCACATCAAGCAGTAGATCTGTCGTTATTGTCCTTACTGCTGCTCGGACTTTGGTATATACAACCAATCATAAGTTTATTTGCTTCGGCTAAGTTGGCACTTACAAAACAATTGTTCCTTAAAAAACTGTTGCCATGGATACTTCAGTTGCTTCGATATCACATGATGTAATTTCTGTCCCTGAATTCCATTTTCTCAGATTGGTTTATCAAAAGATAATTCATAACCTTCTTTCGCCAACTCTTGTTTCGGGGATTTCCCTTTCTTGTTCCACGCGCCCAAATGTTCGCAAGTATTTGTTCCACATGGAATTCCGGTTTCACGAATACGGGATCTGGTGGTTCTGATTAGAATATAGAGTAGCGGTGGAGAAATACTTCCACACAGAGTTCCATGTGCCCGTTTGGGACGAGGATCTTGAACAAATTTTGCACGTGACCCCTTATCCCTGAGCAAGGAGAACCAACTCTTCCAACCCGGTGTTTTATCTTCCTTGCTTGTTCGTTGCCATCTGCTGTTTGGTGTTGGTTTGCCTACCTCGCCAGGGTGCGGCCTGTTTATTGTTTTCTGCCTGTGTGTATTTCTTCTCCTCGACTTCTTTTAAATGACTCTTTTGTAGTGTGCATTGGCATATCTGTGGCAGGTTTACGTCGATACTTTCCTTGTTATGGCGTTTATTGGGGTGAAGAGGTTCCGGGACTCTTTGTCGTATAACAAAGGAACAAGTCTACTATAGACACAGAGTAAAGATATGATCTGATGATGCTATAACAACTAGACGGTAGGTATGATGAGAAACAAAGTTCAAATATCCAGATATTTAATCATATAATATAGAATTAATTTTTTATGGAACTTCGCTACTAATCACTTTACAAACGTCTCAAGTCTTCCCGGCTGGAGTTGGTTTCCCGATCAGGAAACATTCGCCCGATCAAATGAATCTTAATATGATTTTATACGTCGATGACAGAAGCATACATACCTGACTGGTTTAGCTTTACATACATACCGAACCACGGGGTTTAGGGACTTTAGCCCAATACTTATGTATAGACCTAGTAACAATTGATAACTCACACCTGACGGTGCAATCATTTTGTACTGTACGTCCTCTATTACGACCTCACGGCCATCAAGTGGCCGACATCTCATGCTCACCATTCAAGGCCTACCTGTACACACATACCCGAGCCCATATCTTAGCGGAATACTACATGTGTAGCTACAGAGGAATTATCTCCAGTATTAATATTGTTCTGTCCGTTATAAGATGACATTTGCTCGGCATTGGTCACTCTGTTAACTGAACTATTTCTGTCCTATGCGTGTTCCTTAGATTAATTGTAAGTCAATACGTCACTACTTAACGTATTGTTGCAACACAATTCGGATTTTCCGTTGCGCGTGTTTGTACCAACGTATTGCAGTGTTTTACTTGCTCTTTTTATAACTTTTTGATTATAATTATACAAGTTTTCACATATGTACGCGACCAGATGATGTCAAAGAATGGGTTAGTTTTCCAGCTGCCTAAGTTTCTTAAAATTAATTTTGGAAACTTTTTATATGAATTAAATAATACTTTAAAACATGGTGAATTTGTACCTCGTCCTGTGTGCCGTTTCACGACGCGTACGTAAAGTTACGGGTACCCGTAAATATTTACGTGCACGTAACTAAGTGCACGTACGTTACGTAGGGGGTGTTTCACGAAACCGTACGTAACTTTTCACATTTACGTACGGGTTTACGTGCACGTAAATTATACCGGAAGTGAATAATCCAACATGATGTGATGATCCTTAGGTTTAAAGCGGTTACAATCTTAACCATTCAATGATTTCTTTAGACTTAACATACGGCGATTCTCATTGGAATATTTCCATTTATGAGGTGGCCAGAACTTTCAGAAGTGGAACTCTCTAGTGTCATAGTTAAACTAATTAGAGCCCCGTAGAACCCGAGGCAGCACATGAGAGCCCGGTACAGCTGGATAGAAGTATTTGAACCGCCCGGGCCTTTTCTTTTGATGTCATGTCATACATGTAGCAACTGTGTATTTTTTTTCCATATTTTTACAATATGAATGTAATGATGAAGAAACATATCATATTCTACAAATCCATACTTGCGAACTCTCCCTATTTTGGATGGAGATTCCCGATTTTGAACCCTGAAATTCAGCATTTTCAACTATTCCTATTTTCTATTATCTGATGATTTCATCTGGAAGAACAACTCAAAAGATGCCACTTATTAGTTATCTAGTTATAGGTAAAAAAATATGTATATATACATAACAATATTATGCCAATTTAGAATTAGAAATATAACAACTGTCAAGTACATGTACAGCTAATATCGCACATGTGACAGTACCACGGAATTAAATTTTAAGTCCGTCACAGTACTTGTATTATTGGGACTATCTGATCGCCAGTTCAACTAAATATTAATAAGTACATTGTTTTGTAAAACTCTGATACAACTAAATATTGTTGTATTTTTAGGCATGGAAATATTAATTGTGAGGATTTTTATCATTTCACAAACCCGATGATTTCCAATTCGTATAATTATAGAGGGCACAATAAAACACTGGGCAAATATTACATGTAACTGAAAGTTTACAAACAAAAATAAGCTATTGGATTTGGAGATGCCGCGGACTCTTGGGGTGAACCGGAATCAGTAGTCAAACATAAGCCAATTAATTGTGTAGGTATTGTTATTATAAGGATGCAACACAGTAAAAGTCTATCCTCTTAAAAAAAACAAAGATTGACAGACTTGCGACGTGTTGTAATAGAAGCACCACAACAATATCACAGCGACAAGATAGCGGATAGTTAAACGTTAAGTTACCTTCAAACATAACTTCCGTCGACTTAAACTTTCTTGCCGTTGCTTTCCCTTTCAACTACTGAATCATTGCATAATCTACATGTACAAAATATTACTCGGAGATGAGGGGTTGTCTAGATCTCAGTGGTAGGGATCAGGTCGGTTGGGGGACAGTTTCACAAAGCGGTACTCGTCGAATGACAATTATATCGGGATCAAATCGTTATAAAACAACCATTTTCTAACATACTTTCATATTTTTTCAATTACAAAAATATTTGCAACAGGTGCGCCAAGGTTTGGTAATGTGAACTCTGGAATCCAAAGAAAGGACGGACGAAATGACACAACAGTTCGTGATTTTTTGGGCAGATTATGATCAATTTCTTACTCTTTATTGATATACGTTAGTGACGCGTCATAAGCCTTTCAAGATACGTCATTTCTCCATTGCATCTATCAACATTTTTTCAATAAATTTCATGAATTTGTTTGACATCCGATTTTTATACTTAACGTCCTGCCAGAAAATTACACGTTGTTCTTGCTAGTAGTATTTACATGTACATAATTCTCTAAGGTTCTGTTATTGAGATACCAGTTTTCGTCTCCGTATCAAATTTACTGTTGGCGTCTTTCTAATAGGACACAATGGCCAATTAACTCATTATGATTTAAAAACTAAGAAATGGGTGATAACATTAACCTAATTAACGAAAGCTTTGGATAATTCTGCAGATGTACGCAAAATGTCGTTAAAATGGATCAAACAACGAAGCCAGGGGAAATTATTGGAAAGCCCCCCAGTAAAATAACATACAACCCAATGGGATAATGACGTAACGTTGAAGACTTACATGTACGGCACGTCATTGCATACAACATCTTTCATACATTTCTACACATTTTTCTTTAAATCATCTTAAAGTTAATCGGAAATGTTATAAAAACAAAATTTGATATACCGTGAAATAGAATTTCCCACATTTTTATTTCATATTAATTTTATACTTTTTCTTAAAATCAGAGACGTATACGTCTCTGTTAAAATGGATAGCAAATTTGCAGAAATTCATTTTTTCTGATATAATCAGGTTAAACATGAAAAACGACCTGCATAGCATAATTATTAAGCTAAATATTATATCATATCTTCAAAATCAGCTAACGAAATAATATTGCAGTATTTTGAAATAAATATCATCGTTTATGAAATTAAAATTTCGTTCAATTTCATCACAAAACTCATCATTAAAAATCATGAAATATATCTAGAAATGCATGGAATATATATATAGCCGTCGCTGTTACCATCCAAGTAAAATATTGGGAAAATACTGTACTTTTGGCCCCTACTTGTGATTTGTTGGTTTAGACACACTCATCCCCTATGTAATGCCCACTGGAGTTTATTTATTTAACACGACACAATACGGCAGTCATTTGTTTCCTTTTATGACGTCTGAACGTAAACTTACGTGTGGTTTACGGCAGGTATTTGTTGGCGTAAGTTACGTGAGGTTTTGGGCGTAACTTACGGGTACCCGTAACTTATTTACGTGCTCTCGTAACTTACGTGTGCGTCGTGAAACGGACCAAAAAACTTACGTACGGTTTACGGGTACCCGTAACTTTACGTACGCGTCGTGAAACGGCACCCAGGTCACAGGTAGCATCGGGTGACCAGTTTCTGAGCCCTTCAGGTGAAATTTGCCGAATAAACGAGAAGAAAAAAATTGTGGATTGTGCTTTACATTGTTAATAAAAAATGTTCAGTCTTTAATTTGAACAGGAAAATAATTGTTTTACTCTACAATGACTACTTATTCAATCCTCTTGTCATTATTGAATAACGACAAGAGTGTTGATATCAATTTTTTATCCAATTGTCCGAATTCTGTGTCCGCCTATTTATAACACGCTGTATTGACTGTGATACAGCTACAGTCCAAAGGCGGAAGTGTGTCGGGAGACAATGTTTACAGAATCATTTTGACGTCTGTTTCTGCTACATGTTTTAATCATACCAAAACGTTTTGCATATAATATACTTACACTTACAGCATTTCAGTTGCTCAATTGTGCTAAGCAGAAAATAGTGTAATGTTGCATATGAATATTATCAATTCTATTTTTTTTTCATGTGTATTTCTAATGTTTTCTAATCCAATTAAAAACGTAATAGTAGAACAAGCTTTTCCCATGTTTTCGTGGGTAGAATAAGGTACATTTATCTGCTTTTGCTTCATTTTCTTCAACATTCATGCAGACATTAGCTAAGTGTTTACTTTCCATACCGAAAAAAACGATGACTTAAAAAAAGTGCAAAAGATAATAGCGCAGAAACAAGTGTAGCACAGAAACAAGTCCTCTGACAATACTAGCGCGTGTGAGCTCAATAGATGTGGAAATCCTTGTCTGAATAAGTCGCACATATGCGTGCATCAAATCATACTTACTCTTGTTTCTATGTAGACATACATCACTCCGAGCCGTACATACCCATCGATGTTTGTTACATTGTCTACAAGTCCCTAAAACAGTTCTGACATGCATTGTAACTTGCTTTCAATATGATTAAATGATTATCAAACCTAACCAAACTGACAATGTATAAATATTTAGTGTTGTATACTAATACTAGCGCGACTGGTACACAACACAGGGACTTGATAATTTGTTACAGTTATATGTGGGTCTAAACTAAGGTGTTCAGAGTAATATTACATGTTCTAGGGATTAAAGTCAACTTGCAGTAAAAAAAAAAATAACACCTTAGTTTAAGTCCAAATATAGTTGTAACAGATTCGGAAGAAGTATACCTGTGGTGGGAGTTGTTCTGTATTTGTTGCCTTTAATTCCCATCAGAAAAATCTCCGGAGAGGGTGAATTCCTATAATTTATAACAAACAAATAAAATGGAATTTTAACACTTGTACATAGTTTTACTTTGTATTACCTATACATGAATTAACCAATATTGTGAATATGCCTATTCATAAATTTCTACTGATAGATTGCTCTTTGAACCTGACTTATGCTGACGTTATCTCGGACTGAACATGTTCTCGATTCACAAAATTAGATTAATAAATTGCAAAAATACAATATGCTCGAAAGTATATGTCTAGTTATCCATGCAACAAAATAAAAAGAAAGTTACACCATGTAGCTCGGATCCTCAGGAAGCGTATCTTGTTTCTTCAAAACACGTGTCTGCCGACAACACGATAAATTTACACACACTGTGACTGTAATGTTAATAAAATATTAAGGCTACCTGCACGCTAGTTCACAGCACAACAGTGTGTATACCTTTAAGGATCCCTGTCCCGCTGCACAGTAGCGTTTATACAGTAACTTTCCCTTGATTGCCTTTTGACCACAGGGACCTAAGAATTTGTTACAACTATATTTTGACCTAAATTAAGGTTTTCAGAGTAATTTTACTTGTTATAGGGGTTTAGATCGACTTTCGGTAAAAATGACAACACCAATGATCATATATACGAGAAGGGCGGAAAGCTCTCGATGTCGATATATCAAATTTCCGTTTTATTATCCATTTAAAAAATCAAGCTATTTTAAATTATGTTGTAAGCTATTTAAATTGATAATAACCATTGACACAGAAGTCGTACATGTTGTATAAAAATAATACATGTATTTGTGCGTTCTGTTGATAGAGGGGTATCCGGACGTTCTGTTAATAGAGGGGTATCCAGACGTTCTGCTGATAGAGGGGTATCCGGACGTTCTGCTGATAGAGGGGTGTCCGGACGTTCTGCTGATAGAGGGGTATCCGGACGTTCTATAAATAGAAGGATAGCAGGACGTTCTGTTGATAGAGGGGTATCCGGACGTTCTGTTGATAGAGGGGTAGCCGGACGTTCTGCTGGTAGAGGGGTATCCGGACGTTCTATAAATAGAAGGGTAGCCGGACGTTCTGTTAATAGAGGGGTATCCGGACGTTCTATTAATAGAGGGGTATCCGGACGTTCTGCTGGTAGAGGGGTAGCCGGACGTTCTGCTGGTAGAGGGGTATCCGGACGTTCTATAAATAGAAGGGTAGCCGGACGTTCTGTTAATAGAGGGGTATCCGGACGTTCTGCTGATAGAAAAATAATACATGTATTTGTGCGTTCTGTTGATAGAGGGGTATCCGGACGTTCTGTTGATAGAGGGGTAGCCGGACGTTCTGCTGGTAGAGGGGTATCCGGACGTTCTATAAATAGAAGGATAGCCGGACGTTCTGTTAATAGAGGGGTATCCGGACGTTATGTTAATAGCGGGGTAGCCGGACGTTCTGCTGATAGAGGAGTATCCGGACGTTCTGTTAATAGAGGGTTATCCGGAAGTTCTGCTAATAGAGGGGTAGCCGGACGTTCGGCTGATAGAGGAGAATCCGGACGTTTTCCTTATAGAGGGGTATCCGGACGTTCTATTAATAGAGGGGTATCCGGAAGTTCTGCTGATAGAGGGGTAGCCGGACGTTCTGCTGGTAGAGGGGTATTCGGACGTTCTATAAATAGAAGGATAGCCGGACGTTCTGCTGATAGAGGGGTATCCGGACTTTCTGCTGATAGAGGGGTTCCGGACGTTCTGCTGATAGAGGGGTATCCGGACGTTCTGTTAATAGAGGGGTAGCCGGACGTTCGGCTGATAGAGGAGAATCCGGACGTTTTACTTATAGAGGGGTATCCGGACGTTCTATTAATAGAGGGGTATACGGACGTTCTGCTGATAGAGGGGGATCCGGACGTTCTGCTGATAGAGGAGGATCCGGACGTTTTGCGGGTGGAGGGGTATCCGGACGTTCTATTAATAGAGGGGAATCCGGACGTTCTGCTGATAGAGGGGTATCCGGACGTTCCGTTAATAGAGGGGTATCCGAAAGTTCTGTTAATAGAGGGGTAGCCGGACGGTCGGCTGATAGAGGGGTATCCGGACGTTCTGTTAATAGCGGGCTAGCCGGACGTTCTGCTGATAGAGGGGTATCCGGACGTTCTGTTAATAGAGGGGTAGCCGGACGTTCGGCTGATAGAGGAGTATCCGGACGTTTTGCTGATAGAGGGGTATCCGGACGTTCTATTAATAGAGGGGTATCCGGACGTTCTGCTGATAGAGGGGTAGCCGGACGTTCTGCTGGTAGAGGGGTATCCGGACGTTCTATAAATAGAATGATAGCCGGACGTTCTGCTGATAGAGGAGTAGCCGGACGTTCTGCTGATAGAGGAGTATCCGGACGTTCTGCTGATAGAGTAGTAGCCGGACGTTCTGCTGATAGAGGGGTATCCGGACGTTCTATAAGTAGAGGGGTAGCCGGACGTTCTGCTGATAGAGGGGTAGCCGGACGTTCTGCTGATAGAGGGGTAGTCGGACGTTCTGCTGATAGAGGGGTAGCCGGACGTTCTATAAATAGAGGGGTATCAGGACGTCCTATTAATAGAGGGGTATCCGGACGTTCTGCTGATAGAGGAGTAGCCGGATGAAACGTTCTGCTGATAGAGGGGTATCCGGACGTTCTGCTGATAGAGGGGTATTCGGACGTTCTGTTGATAGAGGGGTAGCCAATCTGTCACTTTTGGTTCATTACCGACTTCCAGCAGGGATACCGATGCAGGCAACATTAACGGGTAGAAAATAAGTAGTGACTGTATAAATATAGACATGACAGAACACATCCGTCTAGTGCTCGCCTTCCTTGACGCGGATCCCCGCCGAATCACCAGAAGTCATGACTCTGCTTTCCAATATTTCACGTATTCACCAAATTCTAAAATTGGACAATTTCATACAATTCATTTCTGAAAACTATGTTATATGCGCAATGGTGAAAATATATTTATGGTATTATGAAAGTACCTTTACCAAAATGTCATGATAACGCCATCAGTATTGTCTAGGTTTAAAACCCTGTTTTGGTTACCACGTGTTTTTGTCTTCTCAGCTTTGCTGTTCTCGGAGTACCATAAAAGGTAGATTTACAACGACTTGATTTTGTATGTTTTAATTTTATGGTCCTTGAAATCAGTTAAATTCAAATCATCATGGTAACTCTGTAGTCTATATCGAGTTACCCCCCTTCAACCAGTGATGGAAGCTAGAATAATCCCTTTGGATTGATCTATTTTTAAACTAAATACATGCAGTTTATCAAAACAACTATTTATTTGATACATTCTAAAGCTTGTCAGAACCTACCATTGGCTGGTAACTAATTACATTGTCTGTGCCATCATATTTGTGCCATTAAGATTACACTTTTGTCATACTTAAAACTACGTTTACTATGATATGATAGAGAAAGTAATTTTAATATGAAACGGAAAAAATAACCACTGTATCGATTGTTCGTTTTTGAAAGTATGCACTTTCTCTAAAATCTAGTACTCACTGAGTTTAGTTTCACTACTTTGGAAACTAAAACGTTGTCAAACTCTACAAATAAATATTCTGAGTAGTGAACGAATATATATCTATATAATGGGTTTTTTAGCTACACAGATTTATGAAGGCAGATAAGACATAATTAGTACATGTAGCTGTTTTAATCTATACTCATCTTGCAAGCGTTTCTCAATCAATTTAATAAGCAATTTAATAATATATACTAACTTTGCACAGTGATTTTTTTTATCAATACTATGGAAATACTTTCTTTTACCAAATAGTCATAAGTACGTCTTTATAAAAAAATATTTTTCGAGCAATGAATCGCTTGGAGGAAATTAACTTAATATGTTAGGTGCAGATACATGCCAATCATCTTCTTATAATGTTCTGAAAGCAGCAACGATTTCCAACAAGTTGATCTTGAAATGTGATCATATAATGCTTTTTGAAATGAAAATACTGTCTTTCCCTAAGGGGGAAAACATTACGGTGAGTACCAACGACATACATTTCAATGTGATTCGTGTTTCTTCGGGTTTTTCCCCTTTAACTGCATTTTCCCTGACTATAGATGATTCCATTTTCCCTGACTATAGATGATTCCATTTTCCCTAACTATTGATAATTCCATTTTCCCTGACTATAGATGATTCCATTTTCCCTGACTATAGATGATTCCATTTTCCCTGACTATAGATGATTCCATTTTCCCTGACTATAGATGATTCCATTTTCCCTGACTATAGATGATTCCATTTTCCCTGACTATAGATGATTCCATTTTCCCTGACTATAGATGATTCCATTTTCCCTGACTATAGATGATTCCATTTTCCCTGACTATAGATGATTCCATTTTCCCTGACTATAGATGATTCCATTTTCCCTGACTATAGATGATTCCATTTTCCCTGACTATAGATGATTCCATTTTCCCTGACTATAGATGATTCCATTTTCCCTGACTATAGATGATTCCATTTTCCCTGACTATAGATGATTCCATTTTCCCTGACTATAGATGATTCCATTTTCCCTGACTATTGATGATTCCATTTTCCCTGACTATAGATGATTCCATTTTCCCTGACTATTGATGATTCCATTTTCCCTGACTATAGATGATTCCATTTTCCCTGACTATTGATGATTCCATTTTCCCTGACTATAGATGATTCCATTTTCCCTGACTATTGATGATTCCATTTTCCCTGACTATAGATGATTCCATTTTCCCTGACTATTGATGATTCCATTTTCCCTGACTATAGATGATTCCATTTTCCCTGACTATTGATGATTCCATTTTCCCTGACTATAGATGATTCCATTTTCCCTGACTATAGATGATTCCATTTTCCCTGACTATTGATGATTCCATTTTCCCTGACTATTGATGATTCCATTTTCCCTGACTATAGATGATTCCATTTTCCCTGACTATAGATGATTCCATTTTCCCTGACTATTGATGATTCCATTTTGGCCAAACTAAAAGCCTACGTTTTACACCATCATAACTCCGTCATTAAGAACAGAGGTTTTAACACAATTGTACACCCACTCACATTAAAGAAAAGGTTACCTTATAATAACATAAAACCCAGATCACTATCACAGTGATTAAATCTCACCATCACCCGCGTGTTTGATACGTATACGTAATAAACCATTTAACAATTCCCCGAAGGTTCTTCTGATTGAAATAAACTCGTGTACCGGGTACATTTTATTTGTTGACGTACATTCAGTGTCGTAGTACACGTGGGTGTGTAACTGATATTAG